CCCCATTATTTTAAAATAAGTGAGTTTAACACCAACAATTGAGAATACTAGCTACACAGAGGTAATAATGTGGGCCAAATCGTTATGGAAGAAAAAGAGTACTTGATTTTGAGGTTTCTTTTCTTCTTTGGATGTGAATTGTTTTTTGGCTCAAAAGAAGTAGCGGGGTAGGGTAAATGGAGTTCTACTCTCTAACACACTTTCATTATATTCCTATGAAAAATAGGAAAGGTTTTCATAGATACAATGTGAAACAGAACAGCCCAGACAAAATTTCTTTTTAAACTAATCTTCCCTTTTTCAGAGCAATACAGAAGAATGTCTAATGGTAGTTTAACTAAAACTGTACCTGCTTATTTCCTTTTGCTACGTGAGTGAGTCCTTAGCATATATTACTTTTAAATATAGGCTTCTTGGGATTTATTACTTTGTAATTAAATGTCCTGGATTCCATATGCACACCTTACTAGGTTGTTCTTCCTTCTATATTTTTTCCTTCTATTTTTTACTTCGTCCAGAGGATAGAACCCAGCAACAGGCTTACATGGTCTGCAGTAGGTAGGTGCTTTTCGGCACTTTCTCTTCACTGAAAGAAGAAAGGCTTTTCCTTTTCCTCAGCAATGAGTTATTAAATTGATTTCTAAGTCCTTAATTTTCTGTTATTTTTGCATTTACCAAGATGGAAGATGCTCATACAGAAAGAGGTAGCTGGGAATAGAGCTTACTGACCCAGATATTTTCCTTCAGTACAGCATGTCTTTTAGTGCAGTAGCATCTGTATCCCATTTTAACCGGGTTCAGTCAATGTCCTCTTCATATTCCTTATCAGTTCTCTGCAGAGATTCACCCACCAATGTACTTGTAAGTTGCACTGGCAGGTTGTGACATACATTAATGACTCTTTGAGTTGACCACATTGGAAACATAAAATTCTTACCTGTTAATTCAGGGGAAAGAAAACACCAGAACAAGAAATCTCCAGCAAAACAGATAGGTTTTTTTAAGACCTAAAGATACTGTATATTTCTAAGTGTAAATTCTGCATGAGTACTTTAGGATGCATCTGCATTTCCTCTTGCCTCTGGCTACAGAAAATAAATGTTGCTATATCTATCTTAAACCTTCCATGCTTGCAGAAAAATGTCTTTTATCAACCCATCAATATCTGGTACCAGGTAAAAAATCAGTGTCAAGGAATAATAGTGAGGGGCCTCTATGCTGCAGGAGAGGTGGATGCCACCCAGCCAGCTGCTATGGATAGATAGCTCAAACAGGCCTGTGTCTGCAGATATCTATAGTGTAAAGTGGTGGATACATTCTCAGATTTTCTGCTATGTTCTGCTTTTCAGCCCAGGCTCCAGCCAGACTGTTTATCTGGGGTTGGTTCTGTGTTCTCACTGACAGCCTCACACAATAGGGTTACCCTCAGTTACTCCTACTTACTATCTGCCTGGACAAAAGTTCAGTTGCCTTAGACAGGAGTGCCTCTGCCACAGAGAGCAAGCAGCTATGGATAGTGACAGTTAATCTAAACCATAAGAAGAGAATGGACATATTTGTTTACTGCCTCTGTGAATGCATAAAATACGCAAGTCCACACTGCCAGCTGGGTCTTTGGGGTCCTAAACTCAGAGCATTTTGAAATGAAGTTAGCATTTGGTTGAGAGCCAGCTGAACATGAGCCAGCAGTTTCCCCAGGTGGCCAATAAGGTCAATGCCATCCTGCTTGTATCAGTGGCCAGCAGGACCAAGGCAGTGACCATCCACCTGTGCTCAGCCTGAGGTGAGTCACTCCCTGAGGCCTCACCTTGAGCCCTGTGTTTTGTTTTGGGTCAGAAGTTGTGTTAGGGAAGGTTCAGGTTGAATATTAGAAGAAGGTTCTTCCCTGAGAGGGTGTTTGGGCCCTGGAACAAGCTCCCCAGGGAGGTGGTCCCAGTACTAAGCTGACACATTTGGACAGTACCCTCAAGTGCACGGTGTGACTCTTGGGGTATCCTGTGCAGGGCCAGGAGTTGTACTTAATGATTCTTGTGGATCCCTTCCAGCTCAGGATATTCAGATTTTCTGTGTTAATGTGAGGTGCTGAGTCATGTCCAGATAAGGGCAGCAGAGCTGGGAAAGGGTCTGGAGCACAAATGTGATAAGGATCAGCTGGGGGAACTGAAGGTGTTCAGCCTGGAGCAAGGGAGCCTTATCACTCTCTAGAACTGCCTAAAAGGTGGTTGTGGTGAGGCGGGGATCCATTTCTTCTTCCAGGTAAGAGGTGGAAGATGCAGGGTTGGATTGGCTATCAGGAAACAAGTCTTCACTGAAGGGCTTGTCAAGCATTGGACCAGGCTGTCCAGGGAAGTGGTTGAGTCACCATTACTGGAGGTACTTAAAAGATAAGTTGATGTGGCACATGGTTTAGCAGGGGACTTGGCAGTGCTGTGTTAATATGGATGATCTTAGACATCTTTTCCAGACTAAAAAATCCTGTGATTATGTGATTGTATGAAGCATCATGTTTTTCCTTGGCTGTGTCTGAAATTCTAGTTCAATATCAGACATGACCCCAAAATTACAATTCTAGTATGAGTCTGAGTGATCTTTCAATTTCTATATTTTTTCCCAATTATTTGTCTTCTTTATTTTACTACTTGAAATCTGCTAGGCCTCTTAAAAAATAATAAAGCAATAGTTGATGTGGAAGGACAGCCTTTTCATTCTAATACAACTAATTTACACAGTTCCATTTTATTTTTAATACAGCAACTCTTCATTTTTCTGATGGGTTTATTTTTCTGATACATGCAGGGAAGAGCATTGAAAAAGAAATTGGAAGTTTAAGGTTATATGTGGTCCAATGTCAGAAAAGTACTTTCTTTAATTTTTCTGTGGTGATAAGCTCTTCAGTGCTTGCAATTTATATGATTGCTTTTTATTAAGCTGCGATTTCACCGATCATGTGTTTAGTTTGAGATGTTGTTTGTTCCTCCTCCAAACTCTGTTGTCCATTATATTCAGTCCCCAGTGTGCAGACTGTCTCTCCTGAGGCGTAAAGACGGAGAAGGACATTTTGCCATTTCGTGCTACCTCCAAGTTTGTCATCTGTGGCAAGGGAAGCACATCATGACCATGTACTACAGAGGGTCTGATCTCATCAGCTCACATACTGATTGTTTTGAGATGAGACATACATAGAAATGTGTATTTCTATTCACATTACCTGTGGGCAGACTGCCTGCATTGCAAGGAAAGCTTCATTGCCAGTCATCATGGAAATAGAAAAAAAATGGAAAATTATAAAGAAACATTTATTTACAAGAATGTGATCAAATCCTGGAACAGACTCCTAGAGAGGTAGTTGATGTTCCAGTGTTTAAGAGGCATTTGGACAATGCCCTTAGTACTGTGCTTTAACTTTTGGCCAGCCCTCATCAGGCAGTTGGACTAGATCATTGTTGAGGGTCCCTTCCAACTAAAATAATCTATTCTGTTACTATTCTATTTCTATTCTATTCTATTGCATTGTGAGGTTGTGGTTTGGGGATAGACATCAAGTAGTTTGCCAGAAGCATCTATGTATTCCAGAGAGAGAGGGAGAGAGAAAACACTTTATAAAAGTACCATTTATGCTTTGTATTGAGAGCACTGTGAAGGATCAAATCAAGTCTAACTTGGAAATAGTGTACTTTAGCTGGGGAGGTTGCCTAACATAAGTAATGTCTTACATCGCCTAACTCAGCTGACTAATTGAGCTAAGCCAGCCACTCCTTTATCCAGTTTGCTTTTTAGCCTCTAAGATGCTGTTCTACTGTCACTGATGCCAAAGCCTCTGAAACTCCTGGAGCTCTAGGATCAAATGAAGGGCTGCACTGTATTTCCTGGCATACACTTTACAGCACTTTTCAGTTGTCAGACTGAAGCTTATCATTGAAGTATTGCATTGTACTTCAGACCTTTTATCTCTCCTTCTTCTGTGATGGTAGACAGTCCTTGGTGCCCTGGTGTTTGCTCAGTATCAGATGCTGCTGCAGTTCAGTGCTGTATGAGTAGGAATCTAGGAACATGGAAACAACAGGTGTTACTCAATATGAATGTAAAAAATGCTTATGTAGTTCCTAATTAAAGGTGTCATTTATTCTAAAAAAAAAAAAAAAAAAAAAAAAAAAAAAAAAAAAAAAAAGAAAGAAAAAACTAATTGAGGCAGTCCATACTGACAAAAGAAAAAACAGACAAGTGCTCAGATCAAAATGATGGCAAGTTTTCATGAGTAAAGTAAAGGCACAAGTAAAAAGCTGCAATCTGTGTTGCTTTATAAGAAGCAGAGGTTCAAAAAAAAGCTATTGCTATGGCAACAAAAGGAGCAAGGGGATTTACACTTCTGTATGTATCAGTGCAGTCTTAACCAAGAGTGACTCTGGCTAGAAAGAACAGCTGCATATTCATCCTCATAATTTATGAATTGTGTATCTCACCTCACTGCCTCAGAGCCTATAACTTAGAGTGATAGGTCATTGACCATACATGGCTGAAGATGTTTCTGGACCTGTAGAAGCATAATTCTTAGATTGTTTTTCAAAGTCTCTCCTATATAGAATCTCAAAGTTGAATAGGTTTCTAATATCACTTGAAAATATTTATTCTATGCCATTTGCCATCAATTAAGTCCACACTCATAATACACGTAAATATTTCTCGTAATCTCTTGAGAACATTAAGTCTAATGTCACTCTAACACAGGAACATTCCTTCATCTCTAATTTCACCCTATAAGTGTCACTGAACGCCTTTCTTCCATATGAAGGTTAATACAATTTCTATCTTACTAAATTTTATGTCACAAAATATACTGTATATTAATCCTATTTAATAAGCTTCTCATAAAGCAAATAAAGTAAGATTATCACATAGATATCAGGACATATTAAGATTCAAGTCACACTGCCCTGATTTAAGTTGTTTTTTTTTCTTAATTACCCTGGTTTAAATAATGGCATTGTGTATTAATATTGCAGATCACAGTTTTTCGAATGGGATCAGAAGGACACCAGGATATTGATTTAGCTATCCTGACAGCACTACTAAAAGGTAACAGAGTTGAGTGAGTCTATATCAATTCATTTTGTGTCTCTGATGTCCTGAAACATGCATTTATTGACATATCTATCAAGATGATAAATCTATACTGTGAAACTGAAGTATGCTTCTTGCTCTAACTGCTTTATACAAATCCAGCTCTTCTTTAATGTTTAAACAGCTACTGTTTTTCCTTTCTGAATTTTTGTTCTCCACAACCATTGATGTGTCATAAGAAATATTAGTGGTGACCCCCCACACCAGTTACTTGAGAAGCTTAGTATTCACAAGAAGAAAGCCAAAGGACTCCTCAGATTTAGATTACCTTGGTAGCTAGAACATCCATTTAGATAAAGCCGGCTCTATTGTCAAAGTAAGATGTTATCTGTAGTCATCCCTAGGAAAGTCTGGAAGTAGTGTGATGTTCCTTTCATCCTCCACTTGTAAAGTTAAGAACATAGCTATTGGGATGGTTGGGCTTTTAATCTCATACTTGGCTGGTTGTTACATCTTTCTAAGCCATTACATGTTACACTTCTGCTCTTAAAATGTTGACTTGAAATAAATTTGCTGTTGCCACAGTTCATTACAGACCCTTGTCTATATTAATTAATAAATTAATTCAATACAAAGATCAAGAATTTCATCCATCGCCAAATTTCTTTTTTTTGTCCCTTGGAATAATATAATTCAGGTTTCATTTTTTTCTTAAATGGAACTGAATCCTTCATAATCTTTAGTGTGAATGTATTCTCTTCACATTTGTTCTTAAGACAATCCCTGAAAGTACTGCTCTCGTTTTCTATTAATAAGGCAACGAATGTCTTAGAGTTGTGATTCCACTTTTTCTAAATGTGTTTTCAAGGTCTGTATCCCAGCATAGATCCCTGGAGTCTTCTGAAAACTGTCTCTTGGAAGCTGAAGAAAATAAGTCACATGCCTGTGAAGGATTGTTTTCTATTTGAAATGTTCTTTTGCAGTATTTACATGAGCAACTGTTTTAGTGGTTGCAGTCTCAGTATATGAGCAGTGCCCCCTGGTCCGGAATATCCATTTTGAAAGTACTTAATTGCTGTTGGCCCCTTAGTAACATTAAAGTTCCTTTCCTCTTCATGTTAAGGGTGCAAGTCATCAGAAGAAACTTTTATTAGCTCAGGAGGTGCCTGTATCTGTGTAAGTACTTTCAACCTCTCTTTTCATGCTTGTCTGAGAACCTTGATTTGAAAATCTGCTGATGGCAGTAACATTTGTTTCTTGCTCAAGAAAGAGCCGGAGGAACTAAGACTTACACCTCATCTTCCCTGCTCCTCAGGACTTTCTGATTATGAAGGTATCCAATGAAGATCAATTTCATCAGGCACCTCTGGTTCATGTAAGCTTCCTGATCACAAGGTGTTTAATCAATATGTGCAAAAATGAGATCTGTTGTCTGAGCCAGGTCAGTTGTCCTTATTCACACCATGTCTTCGTACAAAGTGCTCTGACCCACCTGGAAAGAAATACTGATTTTCTGTAAATATACCTCACTAGCCTGATGGATACTTGGGTTTTTCATTAAAGTCTAAGATAGCAATGCTGAACCACTTGTCTGTTGCTTTTTAATAAGTAATTTATTTGTAATATGTAAAACAAATGGAAATTATTTTTTCATGCTGTTGGAATTTTCACAGCATTGAAATTTTCATGGCATTGAAGTTTCCATGGCATTGGAAACTTACTTCCTACAGTTTATTGTCTTTAAAATTAAAGAAAAATAATAATTGTAATATGTAAATAAGATATTTGAAGACTGAGTCTTGACATTCATAAATATAACTTTAAGAATTCATCTCTTCCTACTTTCAAGTACCGTGTAAGAAAAGGAGCAGAGCAATGTATGAAACTAGTGAGTGATTACCAGTAACTTTTTCTCAGTCTTCCTGATGAGAAATTTGCAGCTTTTGGTAGTGCAAGAGGAGCATATCAGCTAATGACCCATCCCACCCTTGTGTGAGTGATTTGGTCATGGAGGAGTGGGACGAGGGTTTGGAAGCACAAGGTATCACTTCCTATTTGCTGTGTAAAATTTGTGATGAGCTGATCTCTTTTTAAACCCACACCAGACACACTGCCAATGTGGGAGTTCTCCTGGACAGCATATTCCACAAGTCCCTATACCCAGCACCACATATTATTTCTTTGTTTGTTTTCATAAGTCACTTGTTTAATCTTGTCAGAAGGATCTATCTTTCTTGGAAGTGATCTTCAATAAACCACAGAATGGCATCCAAACTGGTTATCAATCTACATTACATGGATGTCACAACAGCATATGGTCTGCAAATTTGTAAATTCTTTTTTCTTTTTTTTTAATGTTGAGAGACAAAAATGTGGGAAGTAAGTTTCCAAAGGCATTAGTTTATAGCAGGCAAGTTTATCAATACAGTTTAACTGTTTGTAGTCTCTTAACTTGAGCAGTTGGAACTCACACCATAATGGATTTTGTCCTTGTGCGGCTGCTAGCAAAGCAGAAGGCATATGACAGGGAAATGAAAGACTGCATATGGAGATGGTCTAAAAAAATGCTTGTTTTGAAGTGGCTTCAAAGATCCTAGTTCACGATGCTATTGCAATGTCTGGAACAAACGAGTGCCAGCCATGTTTCAGATGGTGCTCCAGAAGCCTCCCCAGTGCAACTGTCAGCACTGGGAAAGAGGTGCTGGGTGGTATGTGCATACAGTGATATTACTGCATGTACCTGCTGGGATAAACCATGTTAGGCTGAAGCAGAGCTGAAGTTCTGCTCTACTTTCCAGCCTGTGAGTAGGTCATGATTCGTGCTCACTGAATAGCCATCATGTAGTATCAGATGGTCAAGGATAGTCTGCCAACCATGAAATCACAGACACAAAAAGGTTTCAGAGTTAGGTCAGCTATCTGGTTACTGCACTTGTAGCTGTTTTTGCTATCTGCTTTTATATTGTCGGTTGTTTCCTAATTGCCAGGATGATTCTGTAGCAAATGCTGTGGAAATGCAGTCTTTGCACTGAAGAGCTGCTGAAACAGGAGACAGCATTGGACCTGCAGAGACGCAGACCAAAAAGTTAATTTGTTTTTTTATTTTCCCTAATCTAGTTATTTTCTTTAGATGTTGATTCAAAGAGGACACTGACATGCTTAGTGCACTGTGAAAATGGATATCCCACAACCATTTCTGTCTAGGTAGATGTTTCATGTCATTTCATCTTTCCAGATACCTGAGCACAAAGATCATAGGCTATTCCAGGAGAATCCTGTAGGGGCCTATGTTGGTCACAGTAAGCCAGTACATAAAAGCCCTTAGTAATAAGTATATTAAAGCTCTTCAGTAATCCTACAAGTGCACAACAATCATTGTCTGATGTGTACCCTGGCTCCCTGAGGAGACAGCATTGAGTTTATAGTCCCAGGCTGTATCATCAAGGAGTATTACATTTTCAGTCCTAAATATTGAGTAGACAATGTGACTTTTCACCGAAACAGTCTATGTAAGCACTGCTTGATGGCAGGCTAAGAACATAAAATTAACATCTGCAGGAACTAACAGCTATCCCAGCAGTCTATCTATATCCAGTGGTATCTATACCAAGATAAAATACTGCCAAAACCATGTATTGCATCCCAACTGTAACTTTTCTTCTAGGAGCAGATGAAAGGAAGGGTCACACTGCAGATGTGGTCATAGTCTCAAAACATTATTTTGAGGAACATATCTTACAATCAGCCAGACACCAGAATACTGAGTAAATATTAGAGAGACATTAGTCATATCACCCAAAACATTATTTAATGTAATAAATATGATATGGTAATTAAAATAATACAGTGCAAGAGGTTATTAACTCTACCTTATTTATTTCCCAAATTTCCTTTGGCTTTGATTTTGGCACATTACAGTGACACTTGAGTGACAGGCCTCCCCAGAGAGATCACATTTTGGATTCTTCCTACTGACTCAAGTCCATGTTCTGTGGCACTGAATGCAGTCAAGGAAATTATCGAAAAGAGACTGTATCTTAAGAATGCCATCTCATGATTTTTCTTGGGAGTTTTTCTTATATGAGTTGAATTATTCATACTTCTTCATCGTGGGTAGAATTTCACCTAAAATAGCCTGAATACTTCCTTTTTCATGTGAGACAAAGGCTATCAGTTCCATTCTAGAACAAAACCAATTAAAAGGCATCCACAGCATATATGCTGCTCTCTACAAACATTTATAGCTTTGATTTTCCTTCTCCTCTTAAGTAACATCAGTATTATCCGTGTTCATCTGAAAACCCCTCAGGGAAGATGGGAAAGAGGAGAAGGAAGCAAGGGCTTTCCAGCAAGAAACTGTGCTGTGGAAGCACCCATCCAATCAAATGCACCAGAGCCCCAGGATGCACATCCATAATCTACACCCTAGCTGATAGACTGCTTCAGACCTGGAGTACAACATCCCCTTGAGAAGCCACACGTTTCCTTCGACTGCCAGATACCCACTGTGCTCTGTGAGACAATGAAATCAAACATCATGGCAACAAGCACTGAGAAGAGCATCAACTCTGGGACTGCACATGTACCAACAGGAAAATTTGGCTGCTTAAGGCTGGCAGCCTTAAACACAATGAAGGGAGATGGGAAGGACACAGGCTGGACCATGGCTTGCTTTCCCCACTGCTCAGTATTTGGAGCAATGAGTGCGCTCAAAGAAAACAATTTCGGTGAATGGATGACCAGGCACCACCTCATGCTGCAAGCCAGCTGTTCCTTCCGGTGATCAAATGCAGCAGAAGACCCTCTATTCATCTGCCAGCTGAATCTTTTCTAAAGCATGAAGGGGGCCAGGACTGCTAGAGTCAGTTGAAACAAACTGGAGAACACTCCCTGCTAGGCTCAGAGGTTATTTACCTGAAGCCTACTTGACTTCTGCCTGAAGTGGGGACAGTGTAAACAGCCCACTTCCCTCCCTAAGTCTGTCTGATCCACTCTTGATCCAAAATTATTTCTAACTAGATGGCACCCCTGGCTACCCATATGGTAGGCTGTAGTAGGAAAATCAGGAACTGGAGCTCCCTCATAACACATGTGAAATGTTTTCAGGCCGTGGGATCACCATCACTGCCCCCCAGGTTTTAGAGTTACCCATGTGCCTCCTCCATGGCTAAAACCTTGACTAAGCACCTGCTAAAGCTCTCACTTCTCCTACAGGCACATGATTGGGGTGGAGGAGATCTGATGAGAGCATCTCTTGTTTGCTTCAGAAGGGGGAAGAACATTATTTGCTCTCTGTATTTAACTTACATTATCATACTCTCTGCAGGTATTTTTTTTTCTGTTTTTATAAATAAATCTTGGGATGTTGACATGTAGAGAGAGTTTTGCCTTTCCCAAAGGTAAATATTTTCTGTTCTTGAATGCTGCATATTGCTTGTATAAGAAACTCCAGAAGTTTCAGATGTTGTTGGCATCCCCCCGAGGTCTCTTGTGACAGCTTTTGTCTGTGTTGCAATATATAGCAATGAGAAGTTGTGTCTTATGCAAAGGGGCATTCCTGATCCTTCTTAGCCACAGAAGTCACAGAAGAATTGTCACTTCTTTTTTTCCTTCTTCATTTGTTTCAATTCTGCTCTGTTGCTGCATTGTCCACCTTTTTATCAGAGCTCATTTCTGTAATAATGTGATTTGGATGATTCACAATTCACCATCTCCCAAACAATTACTCTAGGTATTGACAAGAATTTGGCAATATCTTTATTGCCACTTAAAAGTTGAGAGTTATGAAATCAAACTGTAGGCTAACCTCCACAAAGTTTTTTATTAAGGTCTTCACAGAGAATTTCAGCAGCCAGCTTTATGTTTTCATTGCCTCCAATTTCAGAGTCCACTTTCAACTGGAACAGTGTGTGAGCTTGAATAGTGCTGAAATGGGGACACAAATGCTTTGAAGTAATGAAAAGCTTTTATTTATTCTCTACTCCATTATATCAGTGTAAGAATTAATAAAGACAAAGTAGAAGTAGAGGTATGAGGTCTTTAAAAAAAAACCTTATACAATCACCTAATCACTGCAAGCAGATATGTAGTTAAAAGTCAAAGGACCTTTTATTTATTTGGTTGATCAGTTCATTCAGGCCAGTTCTCCCTTTGACACTGAAGCACAAATGCTGTTTTATTATTACAAATCAGCTGAGAAGCACAAAATATTTAAAAAGCACAGCAGGACAGGAATGTCCCACAGTGTCCATTAAAACTGCAGGGAAAATCATACCCTCCCTTCCAAAAACAAACAGCTCCAAATCCATCTTATCATTTGCATAGTTTCCCATTTAATTTGGATATATTATACCTTGACACAATCTTTATAGAATGCTTTCTTACATGGGTATTTCATATGTGAAGGGAAATTTGTCCCACCAAGACACCTGACTACAAATAGGAGAGAAACTCCTATCTTCTCCTATGCTTCTTATCAAGCTGGAATGTGTAAGATGCCAAAAAATGCAGAACTACTGAAATCAGTGGTGTCTGTATGAGTTGGATCTACTTGTAATTGCTAGAGGCACGTGTGTTTGTGTGTGTGTGTTGTGTGCATGTGTGTGTGTGTGTGTGTGTGTGTGTGTGTGCTCATGTGATACGTGTGGGCGTGTGTTTATTCCTGCAGAGCTCCGTCTGTATCCTGGCTTGTTCTCTTGCTTCCGATCCAGTAAGAGAGAAAACAGTTAAGTTCACCAAAAATTGCCTCTTCTGATATCACCTGTATCTGCTGTATTTTCTGTATTTTGAAGGGAAATATGAGGAAATAGTTAATGTTTGTAGGACATTCTGAGAATTAGAGATGCAGAATCTGTTGAGAACGGAATTTTTTTTACAGGTGCAATGGAAGGTTTGGTTTTGTTTTAATATGAGTTGCAGAAATGACATGGACGTCTGTGAGACTTTTGACAAAGAGGAGTCACCAGGGCATACTGAGCCTAATGTCTTCTTTCTTTTTTCTCCTGCTCTCCTTCCTGTCTGTATACACAGGAGCTAATGCATCTGCTCCCGACCAGCTGAGCCTGGCACTAGCCTGGAACAGAGTAGACATCGCCCGCAGTCAGATCTTTATTTATGGGCAGCAGTGGCCGGTACAGTATAGATATATATATATATAGATATATATATATATATATATATATATATATATATATGTATATATGCACAACATCTTCTACTGGAAACACTTTGAACCCTACAGAGTATTAAATCCATTCTGTTTGCAGTGGTGGTTTTAGTGTGGTTTAAAATACACTGGGTCCTGCCAATCACATGGTTTCCAGCCACCGTAGCTGAAGGCAAGCACACTTGCAGAGTGGTTCATGTGTTCTATTGTCCAAGGAAATGGTGACATCTAGTGATGCCTTAAGAGTAGGAAACCATACCTCTGAAAAAATGGGAAGTACCAGATTTATGCTACCAAGCATGATTCTGCAATCTGAGGAAAACAAGTATACAGCCATGTTTTAGTGCTGGGCTGTAAATTCAAGGAAAGTCAAAACTTCTTTTTTCTCTTCAAGCAGCATGCTTTTATATGCAAATACTGAATGTGAGATGATGATTTGACATAAAAAATACACCATACAAATGTTGGAGGTTAGATAAACTGCAGGAGCTGATCAGCAGTGTCACCGTGAATGGGCTGTGGCTCCAGACCTCAGGTGGTGTTAATTCTGCCCCACTGCTGCTCTGCATCGATCTGCATGCTCTACATCTGCATTGTCCTGTGCTCCAGTTGTTCCCTGGCTAATACCACTCCCAGGGGCATGGATTCTCTTCAGGAGTGGTAGGACTGTAGAGGGGTTATTGAACATGGTGTTAGGCAGAGGAGGAAGAGTCAACTCCTGGGTTGTGCTACACCTTTTACAGAGGCAGAAGTCACACACACAAAAAAAAAAAAAAAAATAAAGTAAGGTCTCTATTTCTACCTGTATCTCCTTAAAGCCCAACTTACTCACTCAGGAGTTTCAACTGAACCATATTAGTCACTACCGTGACACTTGTTTCATCACTGTCATTGAAATTTCATGTGCTATCATTACATGAGCATTTACAATTCCCCATGGAAAAACTATAACAATGGGGAAAGCTTCTGTTTAAATGCTTGCTTTAAATGTAGCTTTCTACAGCTTGCTACCCCTAAAAGCTACTGCAAAAATCCTTTTCAGTCATGGAGTGAACAGGACTATTTATTTTGTCTTTGATATTGGGCATAAGTACATGTCGAAACATAGGAGGGATTTTAATGGCATTGGACTGTCTTCATTGTTATCTCTTCATCACCACATCATAGCAAAAATTTGAATAAATTCTGCAAACTGCAATAATTTTGGAAGCTAAATGCTGGAAAGATGAGATAATTTCTCATCCTTCTAATTCTGCCTGACCTCCAAGGGTTAAGGAGAGGTTTTGTGTAAGAAGACCTCTTGCATTTGGGCCTTCAGAGGAATGCAAATTATGAAGCTATTGCTGTTTCCTGGGTGTTCGAATTTCCCTGAGGTTCCACACCACAAACAGAAGAAAACTCTAGAAAAGATAGAACTAAAGTGATTTTGTATGCACATAACAAATATATCCAATAAAAATAAAATGTTTGACAGGAAAAGAAATAATTGTAATGACATGGTGAATAAGGTAGCGATGTGGTCTCCAGTTTACTGGATTCCAGTTCCTTTGTCCTAAACTGTTTTAGCTAGAGCATTTTAACTAGCACTCCGATACTGCTTTTTGAAATGCAACCCTGAGTTAGAAAAATTGTTACAGATTAAAGCCTTGATTATCCCATTTCAAGATTAGAAGAGAAATGCACAGAATTTTGTCCGGCCCTGCTTGTGCTAGAGTGACTGAACCAGCTGGATGCAGCCTGCCACACCCAGGAACAGCTTCAATTAATCACTTGCTTTGCAGGTGGGCTCCCTTGAGCAAGCAATGCTGGATGCACTGGTGTTGGACAGAGTGGATTTTGTGAAATTACTCATAGAAAATGGAGTAAGCATGCATCGTTTTCTCACCATCTCCCGGCTAGAGGAATTGTACAATACGGTAGGGCCAGCCTAAGGCAAATTTTCTGTCTTTATAGTCACTGTTCTAGCTCCCACTTGTATTGTAATGGCATGATGATGATGATGCACCCGGCAGTCAACACCTGCTGGAGAAATTTTTCATTAGCCCATATTGTCTCTCTTGCTTGCCTCGCATATAATGTAACATGCTGTGCCTTGCCCACATAATCTGCTATATGGGTTTTGTAAAGACACAAAATAAGCCTCACACAGTGCTGGCTAATTTCTTGTCATTGTAATTCCAATATGACAAACCTAAGATTTAGGCATGTGGCACTGGCTGGAAGACAGTAACTGGCAAGTTAGGACTGATACAGTGGTGTTATATGACTCCTTACAATGTGGTTTCAGAAAACTCTTCCAACTCTTAATCAGTCTCTGCCACAATGAAGGACTTCCCCATGCCCACACTGAGTTCCAAAAATTAGACCTTTGACTTTTAAAAGACTGTTTGAAAGTTTTTAATCCTTACAATTAAAGTGAATATAAAACTGCACAAGTTAAGTCTGCTTCTGAATTCTCAAATGCAAAATACATTCCAGCATTCACAGTGTTATTACCTACCTATATAGTAGTTCAGAAAGTTCAAACATCTTATGTGTAAGGAAAAAAAAAATCTTCAAGGCCTGTCTACTTCATAGAATTCCCAGTTTTGGGGGTTGCAGAAGGGCTGTGGTGTGGGCATATCTCTTTTCAAAAAGGTTTTTTTCTGCCAGTACTTTTCAAAGCCTTTGCTGTCATAAGCTGCTGCACTGGACTGTTGTCTGGAGTTGTATCACACTGATGGTGACCAGAAGTAGTCAGTCTTGCAAAATATCAGATATAAAAAGGATTCCTTAAATTTGGGCAAAATATGGAGGAACAGGTATCTATATATATATTTGTGTATTTTTGCATGTACAGGGTACATATGTGCTACCCTAGAGACAAACTCCCATCTGATCTTTGGTCAGCTCCCCTATTGACTAGCATCTATGTATCAAGAACAGAATGCCTATGAGCTTCCTTGTAACAGGGGTAAGCATGGTAATCCTTGTACAAAAGCCTGTTTTTACAGGGAATAAGTTTGACAGAAGTCTTCAGTTCTACAGCTAAAAGAAGGGCTTTTTGAACAAATTTATTGCTATAGAAATCAGCATACATTTTTTTCATGCACAAATTCCAAAAGATCCAGGCACTGAAATGCCTGAACTACCAATTACACTATATGACCAAATGCATCCATAGTAGCCTTAGCACAAAAAAAAAAAAAAAAAATTAAAAAAAATTTAAAAAAACCCACGTGGCCAGTTAAAAATTACCATATTTCAGCATAAGAGGAATGATCTGCGAAGCTACAAACCAGTGAATGTTACCTCTGCTATGGCAAATTTGTAAAAATAGAATGAAGTATAGAATTACAGGCAAGGGAATCAATTTTTTGTCAACAAAGAGTTTACCAAGCTTTTGTAGAAAAGTGTTAAGCCTTAGAAATCTATTACTATTTCTGCAATCAGCAGGAGAATAAGGATGTTGCACTTGGTCCCCTTTTTTTTTATTTTTGCAAAACTTTGACAGTATTTAAAAATTTCAAATGTTGTTTAAAAGAAATATAGCTGCCATGGCTCACAAAATCAGGGACAATTTTGGTTTAAAACCTACCTGAATGTTAAAGAATAGGGAGAAGGAATACATGGTCCATTTTTACCACAGAAGAACATTATGACCAGGGTCATGGAAGACTCTGTCCTGGGACCATAGCTGTTCAGCTTGTTTATGTAAGATCTGAAAAATGGTACCTACAGAAGAGACAATAATATTTGCAGGTGTTTTAGAAAATCTGAAGCAGCATATGAAGAATTACATGTAAGTCTCATCATGCTCAGAGATGGGGTTACATAAAATTAAGTGCAGAGCAATGCATATATGGAAATATCGACTCTACACACATGTAGTGATCTCCTTCATCATCAGCTACAACCAAGGAGACCTCTCATAATAGTCTCTTAAAATCTCAGCAACAGTTAAAAACAAAGCAGAAAATAAAGTAGGATATAATAGTAGTAGTAGTAGTAGTAGTAGTAGTAGTAGTAGTAGTAGTAGTATAACCAAAATTGCTGGACTGCTCTGCAGAATATTTTTGCAATGACAGCTGGAGTCAAAAGAAGATTGGAAAAATTCACAGGCCATGAATGCATTCTGCATTCACATGCATGTGCATTCACAGAGCGTGGCTTTCAGATGAGACTGCCTCAGTGCAATGCCAGGCTCAGAGAGTCTCTGAGCCACCAGTGGTGGAAGTCCTGAGTGCAGGAAGGCTAAGACTAAAGCAGCTGATTTTGCTTCCACTCTTTCCCATAGGCTGTGCTGTATTCCTGGTTTTTCTAAGCCAGGAGCCTAACCCTATACATAGGACTTCAGTTTTTGTCCAGTGTGGCAGTTCATAGGGTTTTCTTATGGAAGAGTTTTCTACAAAAGGAGAAAACAGGTGAAATAATGCTCTTGTAATTGTTTGGGGCTTTTTAAAATTGATAACACTGTACAATTAAAGTGCTCTCAGCTGCCTGATTTCTAAACTGTCAAGGTGAGAAAGTTATCTCAACATTCATATTTTGTGCAAACTATTTTGTTCTTCTTCCTTTATCCTTTGCAGAGACACGGACCATCCAACACTCTGCATCATCTAGTCAGGGACGTGAAAAAGGTAAGAGTCCAATAGACGGTAGGCTGAAAATAATGTTACTGGTTTTTTGTAGATAGATACAATCTCTGTTTTGCATGAGCTTTCAGTCAGAGCCTTCTCCTTCCTGCCAGTACAGAATGTCCTGTTTGTGTGCTCCAAGTATGAACTTTTTGCATACAAAGCACAATTAGCAAGTTTTTTGGCTTGCTTTCTCTGTGGTTTTAGATGCTTGAGTAATAGTGTGTCTGCTGCCATAATTGTAGGCTCTTACATACTGTGCGGATTTATGCTGTTACTTGTATTTTTCCATATCTGCAACTGTTGTCAAAGCTACTTTCTGTGTTGCTAGTTTACTTCCAAGCCTGTAAAATAGCTGTCACCCTTGTGCTGGATCCTGGCTTTTTGACAGTTCCTCATTCTGTATTGTGTGGTACGTTATAGCCATCTTCCTCAGCAGAAATATAAAAATGAGTAGTGCAAATTCCCCCTGACCCTTATCATGTTAATTTCAAGAATTTTGAATTATAAAAATCTGTTAGAAGAGCTGGACAGAAATACTGAAAGGTATAGTGGCAGGAAGGAGATACCAAATACCTTTACCAATGTGCTCAGGATTAAAAGAGTTACAGCAGCTGCAAGGAATAAAAATCCCTTATCCTTTAAATATATGGATCAAGTAAGGAGATCGATCCTGCAAATGACCTCATCAGCTTGAGTATTCTCCCAAAGCATTGCGGATTACAACCTTGCACTTTATGTAAGTCAGACCTCAAGGGTAGCATACTTGAGAAAGGACATTTCTGTACGTGGGACTAGATAGAAAATTTAACAAGGAGAGGATCTTTTTTCTAGGAGCACAGGTTTTAGTGGTTTCTTCTGACAGTGACAGAATTGAAGTCACCTAAGGGGGAGTAGTATTGTGTCATATAGCATCCTTTTATTAAGTAATTCTACAGAATAATCAGTAGCATGTTAGGAAGGTTCTAGTGGTATTCTTTGGTTGGTGTGTTAAATGGCATCATCATTGTCCAATTATGTATAGTGCATTAAGTGACCACTGAAAATGTGAAATGCCTACAAAAAGAAACTATGCACAAATCCCCTTGGATTGAGCAGAGTGAAGCTAGAATCCATTTAGAATGGATACTGCTCTTGAAGCTGAAGCTTCCAGAATATTTTATTACTCAATATGCAATTATTTATGTGCCTTTAAGAATGTGAAAGAAGCATAACCTGTCTTCTACTTTTTTTTTTCCAAATGCCTTCTCTCCCCCAGAATCACCTTTCCAAGTCCATCTTCAAAGGCACAGCAAATTGTATGTTGAGTAACTAAATAATATGTATGTCTTTTCTTTGAGCCGCTAACTAAATATGTATTTTTAAATAAACTCTTGAAAGAAAAGGCATCAAAGTAGTCAAAGATGATCTGTACTCATGGATGTATATGGACAGACGCTAAACAAACTTACACTACATTTGATGACATTATTTGTTCCACAGTGACTTCTAACTACTAGGTGACAGTTATCTTTCCATAAATTTATCTTTCTTTCCTCTGTTATTATCTAAAATCTTCAGTAATTCCAACTACATTGAATCAGTCTCATGAGCATAGGTGAGGGGTTTGAAAACAGACAGCCTGATGCAGCTCCTGGTTAGCACCTTCCTGAACAAAACTGGACCTCTGGGCTGTATTTCTCATTTTGTCCAGGATGGGGAACAGCCAGGCTTCATAAGGAGAAGTGACAGCTTCACCATAGCCCTGGCAACTGAGCAGATCCCTTACCAATCAACCAAGCCATAAATCAGTCACAGATCTGACAACAGTTTAAATGAAAACACCTCCTTGGAAAAACTTCTGAATGGACACATCACCATTTGACTGTTCAATGGCCCATCATGCATGCAAGACAGACCGCACTGCTGATTGTAGTTTTTTGAGTTCATGTATATTTTGATGCCATACGCCTAACCTCTCGGATTTAAATACAGCATCACAGAATATAAATACCAAAGTATGTTTTACACCACCTTGAGACAATACCTAATTGATATGAAATACACCATGCATTTACGTGTACCTCTCAATTTTAAAACTTGCACTATTTAAAAAGGTGTATGCTAAAAAAATTTCATCTTGATCATTGTGGATTCTCAGATAGAAAATGGATATTTAAAAATCATAGAAGCAGTAATTTACTACTGTTGTACTATATAGCTGTATAAATCCGTAGGAGAGTGTTGTTTTGTTTTGTTTTGTTTTGTTTTGTTTTGTTTTGTTTTGTTTTGTTTTGTTTGAAAAACAATCTTTGCCTTAATAAAGGAAATAATGAGAACAACAGAAGTCACATTATCAGATTCCATTTGTGGCAGTCTATAGACATTCATGTGCACAAACATGCACGTGCACACAAACATATAATACAACAATATATTTTCCCTCTGGATTTCCAAATACTGCTGTGAAGACTGATAGCCTAGGCAGCACAGTGTAAAGGTCTGGAGACGCAATCTTAAAGAATTTACAGTAATCTAAATGTGCATAAATTTTGCATGTATTAACAAGACAAATTATGTCCTAATGACTCTTCCTCAGATCACCTTTCAGTCCTCTCAATTCCATAGCTACATAGCAGGGCCAATCTGCCTGCAGTTTTGCCATCTCCTGTCAAGGGTCCAGGATTTCACATTTAAGTTTCACTTCCTTCCATACACCATACAGAGCAATGTACCCAAGCTAAGCAGAAAGAATCAGACAGTGGCTGTGCTGGACACCCTGTCTGCAAGTGGAGGTTGCCCGCTACAAATGTAAAAAATAAAAATCTTTCCCTGCCTCAACTAGCTGATGAAGATCAGTAGAAATTAACAGATGGATTTTTTTTTTCCCTTTATCCAAAACATTGTATATAATTAACAGATATTCAATTCCACTTCAGGATTATTTACATATCCATAGCTGGGGGTTTTTTGAACTGCTACTGTACATCTGCATTTCCAAAGAACAAACTAGCAATATATAGAATTTTGGCAGTATTATTTTTTCCTCAGCATGAAACTCAGAGGTTTGATACATGGTGACACAAAAATGCACTGAAAATGAAAAAAGTACTGCAACTGACTAGCTACAGTTTAAACCTGAAATTTCTTCAGGAGAACAATCGTGCATTAACACTGAAGAGTTTGTCCCAGCATTAAAAGATTTGTTGATTATTAACCAGGCCAACTATCTTACCTCAAAATCAAACTTTCTCCTTGGTCATTCTTGACCACCTAGACTGCACTAGAATTAGCTCATCCACATTCTTGTTGTTCTTGGGGCGGTTCTGTCCCACTTGCACCACTGTGTTTCATTTACAAGCATCCTTAGCTCTGCCAGGCTGGTTCAGCTGTCTGCTGACAGAGCAAGTGCTTTGGCATGTGTGTAACTCCTCTCACAAGGATGGTCCAGTCTTCTTTACTAGGGCTTCGTACTTTGGAAAAGTAACGTTTATGAAATCTGTGGTTTTCCTGTGGATTTGGGAGTTTTCTTTAGCGAAATGTTTCAGTATTATCTGGGAGATTTAGATGCATTTTTTATCAAAGTTATTTTACTGGAAATTTTTATCTAAATCTTTCATGAAAATTTAGAAATTAGAGCTGTATCAAGAAACTCAGCTTTGTAACACGTGTAGCACCCTGATGCCTGTTTTTCTTTCTTAACTGCTCAAATGTTTTTTGTCACTTAATAACATTACAGCATTCAGTTTAAGTGAAGACCTCCAGTTAGAAGGAGTCCTGCCTTGGAGCTGCAGCTCCCTCTTCTGCTAATGCTTTTATCCTTGTTCTAGGAGAGTTATCATCTTACATATTCTGGATAGAGAAGAACATTTTAGGGGGAAAACCAACCAAACCTAGTAGAATTTACTTTTTTAATTTAATTTTTTTAGATTTATTTTTCATTTAATTTTTAGACATTATTTTTCTTTAAACTGTTCAGCATAAATGTTACCATGTCCAAATTATCTAAGCTAATACACATTCCTGCAAACCATAGTAATTCCCCCACCCATCAAATTACACAAGGTTAGGAAGGTTGCAAAAGGATATGCTAGAGGACATAGAAAATGGTTGGCAGCTCAACTTTTTCCTCTAAATTTGCTTGATTTTTTGTCCCTTTGAATGCCAGCTGATTGCTGAACATGGTACACAATGGAAGCACAACCTCCCTCTCTCCTTCCTCAGCCTTTTCAGCATGCTGCTTGTACCATGGTAGCAGGGCAGGAAATAAACCGTGCTCTTCATGGCTGAAGTACAAGAGGAAGGAGGATCTTTGCATCCATTTTTTCTCTTCTGCAGATCCAGTTGCCATCTGCTCTCCATTAGTGATTCTCTGCTCTAATCTAATAAGGACGTCTCCAGAAAAGCCAGGCAGATATCGTCAGACATGCAGATATTTCAAGCAAGACATGATAGTCATGAAACTGCTCCATGTGAATTACTAACTTTCTTCTAATGAACACATAAAAAAGCTACAAGCTCACTGTAATCTGTACTGTATATCATTATAGAACATTATTACAGTGCACTGAAAAATTTTGAAGCTAAGAGTTACAGTTTCTGGTCCCTCTGCAATATTGACTATATGAGACAATTTTTTATTAGAGTAATATTCCTTTTTTTCAAGGCTACTGTAAACAGTACAGAGAAGGATAATTTGTCTCTCCACCCTTATTTTGTTGTCATTTCTTTTGCACAGTGACACACGAAGCAGAGAGGGTTCTCTAAGTCTGGAGGGTTTCTTAGTGAGGTCTCTAGAGCCAGGTGATCTATTCACAGTTTGCTGAATCATGCCTTCTTTTTAGGTAGGGAATGCTTACCAAAACCTGAACTGTCATCCAGTCAACTCAGAAGCAAAGAGTTAGAGAAGGAAGCAAACTTTCATTTGGGTTCATTGCCTTCCCATTAGTTCTTTCCTTCTGTAAAGGGGTCAGAGTTTACCTTGTGTAGTTTTTCTGGAGGGAATAGAAGAGCAGGTGTACCCACACTGGGGTTTTTTTCTTCTGTTGCCAGAGATCCCAGACAGACTTGACTGGCATATCTGTGAGTGCAGCTCAGCCTGAAATTGTTCAGCACACAGGGTGTCCCATTGGGTTTACTGCAAGTGGAGAATAGAAATGGCCCATTAACTCAGAAAATGCATATGCTGTGAGAGACAATCTGTTACTGAAATCTTTCTTCATAGTTTTGCCGCCCCCAAGCATTGGAGAACTCATAGCCTTAGTGATGCCATTTTCAGATTTGAAAGTGAAGAGTAGGAAAATGTGTGCAAGGGAGTTCCCATAAAAAGGACATTAAGATGTGGACATATTTGTCATTCTGTTTCCTTTTGAGTTAAAAAGTACTTGCTGAAGACATGATATACATATACATACACACAGGCATATACATAGGCATACAGATATACACATACATATATGTATCTATTTAGATACAGATATATAGAAATATCTAACAGAGGGTAAGAAAGGAAAAGAAATGGAATGAGAAGTGTGTAGGCATCTTTTCCAGGATTCCGCTAATGACCCTTGCCACAAACTCAGTCATTTCTTGTGAGAAAATCTCCATGGCTCTGCTGGAAATTACGTAACTAGATAATGTGCTTAAAGGGGCTTTTAGTAAAAATGTAAGAAAGTCAGGTAGGGAATATGGGGGGAAATTGCTAGGCCTGTAGTTTTCTTCATAAAAAAACCCAAAATAATTTGCCACAGATATTTTGTTTATTACAGCTTTCATACATGCAGATGCTTTCCTCATTCTTGGTGTGAAACTTAAGGGTGTGTATTCTTTGAACATAACTCCAAGACTGAATGCTGATAGACACTCCTTGCCCCTAGCAACTAGCTGTAATGATAGCTCATGTACTGTGTAAGTCCTCTAGAATTGTAACACCAATCTTACCACCTGCCCATCCTTTCCTGGAATATGGGAAGGAAACTGCAGGATGGGAAGGAGCTGGTCCCATGTGAACAAAAGATTTTGTGTGATGTCACTTCACCATGCTTTGACAGTTAGACGAGGCAGTCCAGAGAGATTCCAGCAGATGTGAGATGCCAGGATGAGTTGTGGGTGAGATGTGGTGCAGGAAAAGTGCTATCTTGCAGAATTAGAGTCCAGCAACTGTGCCTGACTGTTCAAGTGTATCAATCCTCATGCTTTTGTTTCTGCAGTCATGTTCCTTGCTTCCCCAGCTGAAGAATATGAGTACTGTGTACTGATGTTATCTTCTGTTGCTTCCAACAAGTTCTTCACCTTCTTATTTAACTTATGTCTTCTTTCCAAGCGAGAATATCCAGGTTTCGGTTGGATCTATTTTAAGGTGAATTAATTAACCAGCATAATAATACATTCCTGCTTTTACCTATTTAATTTGTTTTATTCTAATATAATTTTAAAGTACATTTAACAATGTCAGTAATAAGCATTTCTTCTCCCCACCATCCTTATTTTCACTGCAGGGAAACTTACCTCCTGATTACCGGATAAGTTTGATTGATATTGGATTGGTGATAGAGTACCTGATGGGAGGAGCGTATCGCTGCAATTACACCCGAAAGCGGTTCAGAACACTTTACCACAATTTGTTCGGGCCCAAGAGGGTAAGAAACAAATGGTTTGCTGTCCTCATGACTGTACCAGCTGGCAGGGATTACCATAGTTTCTTACATGGTTTCAGACTGGTGGGGTCCAGATTCATTTCCATTATGTGCGTTGCAATTATGTCACCATAATGCATCACAAGCCAATCACTGATATAAGCTATGCTTTTTATTAATGCAATAAAAAAATTATTGCATTCTGCTGCCCTGCTGAAACCAGCACGTAAAACAATCTCCTCTGACTCTAAAACTTGTCATTATGAGTAATCACAGCTTTTAAAAGACAAGTCTTTTGACCTGCACCAATAACACTGTAATTCTAACTCCTGAGTTAAATTTGAAAACTTCTGCATTATCAGATGCATTTCCTATCTTGTGGCTCTTCTGATTGTGATCTGAAGGTTTCATGGCAAAGAAACCCATAACTCAAAACATGTTTTATTTTTTGGATGTGGCTTCAGCAGTCAGTTCATGGCAACATCACTAAGTATTTATGTGGGTTCCATGTTTGATAAGTTAATGCCACTGTGAATACAAAGCAAAGTCTTTCTAAAACACAAAAGCTGTTTACAATCATCCACTGACCCAATCCAGCATGAGCAGGAGTCTGTTCATCTACTCGCAATACGATTTGTAGTACCTTCTTTGGCTATTTTTGCCTCACATTTCAGATTTTAGCAATACACAGCACTGAAAGTATTAATAAGTGGCTATCCATAGCAACAGCCCTGTGAAACACTTGCAAGCAGCTACCTAAAATGGGTTTATTTGTTTCCATATGCTTTTCCTTATGATTCTTCACAGCTGGAAAGAAAGACAGTGATTGTAGCTGGTGGGAGAGAATTCCTTCCCAAAGTCACTCCATTGACAAAAGCATTTGAGCAGTGATTTCACCAGTACTGAACCAGCACACAGAGTGGCTCCACAACAGTCAATGAAAGTGTTCCAGGGCAGTGGCCAACATGCTGATGTAGTCCAGAGAAATCCATTCATGCCTTATCAGTGATCCCTATCACTTTCTTTCTAGAACAGCCCTAAGCAGTTGTAATTTGTACTTGAATCAAAATATATGTCTTCTGATGTGGTTTTGGTGAAATAATGTCAGACTCAAGTTTGAAATAATTACATATATGTAATAATTTGATTGCTTTGCATGTGTATGTATATGCTATTGCACTACATTATATTATTACTTTCTATATTTTCATTATTATTATTATCTATATTTTATTATATATTCTACATCACTCTACATGCATGTGTACATATGTGTATATGTATATACAAATAGCTGTATTTTTTCATCACTACTTGGTGAGAAGTAACATTTTTCTAACTTTTCTTTGTACAGCCAAAAGCTCTGAAGCTGTTGGGAATGGAGGTAGGCAACCTGTGACAAATCTTAATGTCTTTTCCTTCTTTGATAAATATAAACTATATCCAGATAATATTCAAATTCACTGTAATGAAAGCATGAATAGTATTTTTCATCCAGGTATCTTGTTTACACAATAGGCAGATTAAGAAACATTTCTTAATAAAAGTCCAAGAGATAGCTAAGGAAAAAGAGGGCTCTGCCCCAACTATGGATCGTCTTGGTTTTTTGTTTAATAAGAATTAAACAAAATGTTTCAGTCCATCAGGGCAAGCAAAATTTCAGTCAGATAGCATCTAACTTCAAAATTTGTTCAGAGAAATGAAACACTTGCAGAGAATGATGCAGAAATCTTTATAGAAAAATATCCAAAGTTATCTCAGTTTTGTTGGCTCTTTTGGCTACCCCAATGCTTCAAGGGAATAGTAGTATTTTCATTTTTTTTTATTTTATACAACCACTTTCATTTTTCCATCCATAGACACAGGACAGAATAGGTCAGCTCACCTGATAAAAGCAAAAGGGTAAAATGGGAAAGAAACTAAAGGCAACAGAAACAACAAATGGATGGAGAAGGAAGGAATAAACATGCAGAATAGGAGTAAAGAAGGGAGATTGCTACTTTTGTAAGGCGATAAAGGGAGAAAACACAAAAATAAGCATAGAAGGAGTCTTCAGCAGATTAGAAAATCCCCTGAATATGTACTTTCTGGAGGTGGAAAGAGACAGATGCATTGCAGCAGATGTTACATTTGCAGTGAGCTCTTATCTTTATTTGAATGGTGTATTTTCCAAAATAGTTCTGGATTTTGTGTGATTGTACTCTCTGTTATTATTTTCAGAGTGATAGTGTTATTGATTCAAAGTGATAGTCCAAGGCTCTGTTCACCTCTTTACTGTCTTCTTAACTACAGTGAATACACCAATAGTTTTTTATTGTTTACCTATGTTAAATATTTTGTCCAAGAAATGATGAATGGGCTGGCCTGCAGGAAATGTGTTAGGCACTGATTTAAATGAATTGTGTGAATTGATTCAGTTCCTTCAGTGATGAAAAAAATTTCTCTACAATTCCCACAGGATGATGTCCCTTTGCGTCGAGGGAGAAAACCAACAAAGAAAAAAGAAGAAGAAGTTGATATTGATATGGATGACCCTGAGATCAATCACTTTCCCTTCCCATTCCACGAGCTGATGGTGTGGGCTGTGCTGATGAAACGTCAGAAGATGGCCCTTTTCTTTTGGCAACATGGGGAAGAGGCTATGGCTAAAGCTCTGGTGGCCTGCAAACTCTGCAAAGCCATGGCCCACGAAGCATCAGAAAATGACATGGTGGATGACATATCCCAAGAGCTGAACCACAATTCCAGGTGAATTTCCTTTCATGTACACTTTCCTGAGGGGGAAAAAAAAAAAAAAAAAAAAAGGAGGGAAGAGAGATTTCTGAACCTGACTAAAATTTTCTTATTTGTAGCTTGCTTTCATTTCTAACTGGTGGGGGAAGTGCAGTCCATTTAGAGAAAATCCAAATGGCTTTTAAACAATCTCTCTGCCAGAATAGCAAAGTTGTTAGCAATTTAACTTCTGAAATGAAAAGAGATCAAGAAGACAGTGAGATATCTATATTGTTCATGTGCTCTCCCTGAGGCCTCAAGAGTCAGACTGCAACATTTCTCTGTGCTTTTTCAGGGTACTCTGTACCTACCCAGCAGAACAATTATTGAAATCCTTGTGAGCAAAGTATTCAGGCGGCAGTGTTAATTAACCAAGAGGTCATGCTTAGATGAACAAGGCAAGATACTAGATTCCATAAGAATTCTTCCTGATGTTAAAATTTCAGAAATTTAGGATTTGAGAAAGGATATTGGACACTACTTCTACGAGGCTTGACCATGGAGCTTTGGGCAAACAGCAGAGAAGCAATTCCTTAAGCTGCAGATAACCAGAGGATTTCAGTTAGAAAATGTCAGGGAGGTGGGCAGGGAGGTGGGAGCAGACAGCTGGTAGGTGTGGGTGCTGATCACTGCTAAGCTGGGGCACTTATTTATATGCCTAACATTAGCCACTCACATTTGAAAATGTGGGTTTTGTGTGTAGAGTCAGCATCACGATTTGTGTGCTGGAAGGTGACGTGCCCCTTGCAGTGGCTGCCTCTGCAGAGAGGAGTTCTGAGCGCAAGGCTGCGCGTGCTGACAGGAGTGAACGATGTCCCTCTGTTGCAGGGACTTCGGCCAGCTGGCGGTCGAGCTCTTGGACCAGTCGTACAAGCAGGATGAGCAGCTGGCAATGAAGCTGCTGACCTATGAGCTGAAGAACTGGAGCAACGCCACATGCCTGCAGCTTGCAGTGGCAGCCAAGCACAGGGACTTCATCGCTCACACTTGCAGCCAGATGCTGCTCACTGACATGTGGATGGGTCGTCTCCGGATGCGAAAAAATTCTGGCCTAAAGGTCATTCCTGCTTTAAAATAAAATTAATATTCAGAGGATTCTAATAGATGGTGACAGGATTCAGAAAAATCAGTAATAACTATCTAAAGTAACCGTATTTCAGGTATTTATTTGAAGTAACATTAAGCAGGGTATATTCTTCCTGTGTTCAGGGAAGATGATGGGGCTTATCATAAGCCTAAGTTCAAAGCACACAGCTTAGATTTTTTCATTTCCTTTCTTAAAGTGCCCTCTGGCATCATTTATCAGAATAAGAATTGAGCTAGGAGGTTAGTGTGTCACCCTGCCAGTATACTTGAGGAGTTAGTCAAGATTTTTAAAGACAAATAAAGGAAAGAGAGGTGTAAGTGAATTAACCATTAGTGAAAGGTGCTGATCTGACAACCTTTCCCATAACAGGCAAAGTAAGCAGCACAAATTTCCTTGCAAACCCTTGCAAATCTTCCTGATGGCATCTGAAGGGACTTCTTTAGAGGGTTTAAAGGATAATTCAGTTTTCAAAGCTGTTACAGCTTTACACAGCTTTTCCACTCTTGACAAAACTGCTAACAGTGCAAAGTGAATTCTGAGATGAATTTGAGTCCCTGGCTGTTTCACCAAAGCAGCCACCAGTCAGAACATACCCAGCAATTGCCTCTCCCTCCCAGATCACCTAGAAATATTTTCAGTGAAGGGATTCTCTCTTCTGCACTAATTGCCTGTGTGAAAATTTTTAATTACTCAGCTGTGTTGCCATGTGAAATGTTCAGTAATGGCAAGAATGCTTAGGAGTACATGCATTGCTTCTAGACTGGCTCTTAATCCAGGGACAGTGATGAATGAGAACAAGTGGCTGGTAGCATTCCTATGCAGGACCTGTGCATACACATTGTTCTGCTACAGACAGAAAACTTTCTCATATTTGGAGACATTCCTACTACCTATTTCCTGAACTCGCAGGCCTATTATCCTTCAAAGGGACAGCTGCTTTGTTCACTGTTCAGCTTTGCAGAAATTCAGTCTAGGTACATGGAGGACAGCGCAGCAACTGATTTCCTACTACACACATTCCACTTTTTAGCACATTTCTTAAGCCCTAAAATAGACCTTTCTTTCATAATGCATAACTGAAGGTAACAGGCTCCGTTTCCTTTCAGCTTCTTCTAACACCAGGGCTTCACAAGGATCCTTTACTCAGTTTCTAGTCTGTATTTTATTTCATTGAAGCTCATTAGCAGAACTTGTTTAAAGCTAGAGCAGGCTACAAGCTACATGAGGCAGCATGACAAAGAAAACATTTGCAAGCATGAGTCATGGTTTATTTCCCAAGAACAGCTTTTTCCCTTTGAAACTGACAAATGGTAGGAAGATTGAATATAATTCTTTAAATTCTTGCTGGGATGTATGGCATCAATGGAAGGGCTAGGGGCAGCTGTTAATCCTACCTGCTCTTAAAAACAGCCTTTCTATGAAGCCTGGTCTGCCTGTAACCACCTCACCCTGGACCCATCGTTTGTGAACACAGCACCAGTGCAGGAAGTTTTTCCAAGACTGGGTGCAGCATTTGCATACACTACCTGCTCCCCTTTGTGTACTTTGAATGGTTTCAACAGCACCCAAACTGTCTGCTAATATGATTAGCACAAGCACCCTCCCTAACCTGCCAAGAAGTTGACTATCTGGTTTCACTCTCATTCAGGAAGAGATTTATCAGAACATCATTCTCCATCAAATTGCACCATAACCAGGGAAAGTTATTGTGCTTGTGAATACAGGCTTTGCTTTGTATTACTGTGGTGTCTATTCAGTTGTACTGTTTTAATCCAAGCATTGTTCATTACTTGTAAATCCCAACAAGGAAATTTTAGTGGTTTCTACACTTCTGCATCTGAGAGAAGGAAGGCAGAAAAGAAAGAGAGCTGGCATCAACATGACCATTACACAGCTGCCTGGTTACTGAAACAAAATCTAAGGGGAATGCATATCTATGTACATCAGCATTTGTTTTTGCTGGCTTTTCCTTATCTCCTCAGATCCACACATAGTTGCACTTCTTTGACTGCCGGTGTACATTAAGCATGGACACAGAGGTATTAACCCTCTCTGTAAAAATAAATACTCTCTGTGTATCATTTATACTGATATTTTGTATTATGTAAAATGCAGACATTTGCAGTTCTGTACACCCCTGTGGTCCCACCTACTCTTGACCCTATATAATATTTTGTAAATATATTCTAGTATGTAGCACTACACACAAGTAGATATGCAAGTAGATGAAACATTCAAGAGCATTCACAGCAGCACTAGTAGAAGTTATATGCATTGATTCAGTGCTCTGGTAACATTACCCCCAATAACAAATACTTTATTGTCATAGAAATTCACATGTACATACATGTATCTTTCTTTTCCTAAATCTCCTGAGGAAATTGTTCCATTTGATGCTAAGTAATCATTATGACCATAATCTGTTTTCTGTGATGATTATTGTTATCATTATTATTGCTTTAGGTAATTCTAGGAATTCTACTTCCTCCTTCAATCCTCAGCTTGGAGTTCAAGAATAAAGATGATATGCCCTACATGACCCAGGCCAATGAGATCCATCTTCAAGAAAAAGATCCAGAGGAACCAGAGAAGCCAGTGAAAGAAAAAGATGAGGAAGACATGGAACTCACCGTAAGTGCTCACAATAAACCATCAGCCTCAGCGCTGTCAATTTGTTATTCCTACCTCTGCAGGCATTGCAGAACATCTGACGGCTAAATATAGAACATGGTAGGATACCACTCTTCACACTCTCCTCTTCTCCATGGGATTCAAGCCACACAAGTTGCCATCATTTGGTCACCATGCTGAAGCAGCGCATAGTGCTGTGCTGTAATATCCTCATATTTTGACTCAATTTGATGCCACATGGTCTGAACTAAGTGAATTAGATTTTAGAAGCACTCAGTCATGATAGATGACCTCTCTGGCATGAAAAGGGCTAACCTTTATTTGGAAATGCCCAAAGATTCTTGGAAGCCAGAGATTTTTTTTTCTTTTTGTTGACTTCATTAGAGAGTAAGCAAGTGTGCAAACAGGCCAGAAAAATTATGAAAACTTAGTCTAAAATTCTTTTTGTATTTGTGGTCATTGCCTTTTACACAAACACACATCCAGTCTTGATCCACTGAAGACACTAGCAAGCAGCAAAACAGCTCCACTTCTACAACTCAACAGAATTGTGTAAGGAGGGACTTGTCAGTATTAGCAACATAGCCTTTGAGGAATAATTTACACCACGAAGAAACAGACAACTAAAACTCTGGAAACTACACAAGTAATCTACTTCCTGTCTCTTTTTCTCACACTTTATAGTTTGGGCAGTTATCATACAGGCTATTACATCTGCCTTAGTCTAGTTTGGTTTGGATTTGTTTGGGTTTGATTGTGGTGTCTTTGAAAGGCTTATAACTCAGCCCCTGTTGGTCAGGATAGAGGCATAGACATAAAAGGGATTTGCCTGATTAAGTTAAAAAACAAAAACAAAAAAACCCAGACTGTTTCCCACAGGCAAACAGCAGGAGCTGCCCACAGGAGCCCGACTGCAGGCAGGCAGAAGGACCTGCCTACAGGACCCAATATGCAGGCAAGCCGAAGGACCAACCCACAAGACCCACCTACAGGACCCGTTTGCAGGCAAGAACCGGGCTGTTGGGAAGGACCAGAAGCCAGAATAGCAGCAATGGAGCATTCTCTGCTCATTAGCTATTGATTGCAATTTACTAACCCTTGGCTTCTGATCCCCTTCTGAAGTGCCTATTCAAATCAAATAAGCACTTCTCAAGCTGCCTTTTACCTGGTAATGAGGAGAAGTTTGGGGAAGATGTGTTTTCCATCTTGCTGTAGTTATCCCAGCTCCTGGTTTCTTGTCTACAATACTGTTTCCTTTTTTCCTTGGGACTCCTGCTGCAAATAAGTGATGTGTGCAGTGGACCTGCTATTCCAGATGAAACTTAGATGTTCCCTCTCTTCTCCCTTCCGTGTGCTGACAGTCCTATTGCTCTGTTCTGTCATTGACTCTTCCCTTAATTCCTTCAAATTCAGTATATCACTCAGTGAAGTTTCAGGCACTTTAAACATTTTCTATAAAATATTTCTTCCTGTGGAGTCCAGCGAATTTAGAAACAATATCTTTGGTCAGCACTGCTTTCTTGGTATTTCTGCATACAATGTAGACCATACTGTAGAACTTCTAACACAGCTGTTTTGTTCAGTGGTGAGGAGAGATGAATTGGTAGCAGAGAGATCTTTGCATGTCTGTGCTTAGATGCCACAGCCACTTAAATTTAGCAGCCTGACATATTTTAAATATAAGAAAATACTTTAGACTGAAGTTTTGTACTGTTCCAGCCTTAGTCAAATGGTCTGGCATAATGGTCAGGTTTCTATTCCACTGATCAAAGGATGCCTGAAAGATGTTTTAGGAAGTCCCTTTGTGAAGTTTCCCCTTAGCCATGGTATCCTTTAGTGTATTAAGGATGCCTTATAAAAACTTCAGTAAGATTAATAATTTATTGTGGTGGGATATCAAAAATGTTTAATCCATTGCTGAACTTTGAATCAATAGATCAGTCACTCACCAAACCTGAGCTTTGTTCAGCATAAAGATTAGTGATGTTCAGCATAAACAAAAGTGATGTTAAAAAATAATTTTTATCTCAAAGTTCTTTTTCTGGCAAATAATATATAATTAAAATAATCTTCCTGATTCTCCTTCTAACCATTCCCTATGAATACTTCTCAAGTCTCTGTATTCATCACGTTACACCCATATTCTCTCTGCTAAAATGAAGATAAAGAGGTCTCATCTAGGCAAGGTCTGTTCATTGATTTTCTGTGTGTCTTGCACTAAGCCCAGGTGACTAAAGACAGGCCAGGGAGTCAGTTTCTTCTTTTGCACTGCACTTTTGCAGAGTGCATGAGGTACACGGCCCTATTTTACACCTCATTTGCACACAATAATGTGATCAGCAGACTACAGCAGCAGTGAAGTTTAGTCTCCACATGGGTGCATCTGCATGCAAGTATGTATTTGCTTTATGCTCCTCTTAAAGGGTCTGGTGGGTAGCTGAACATGTGGATATGCTACGAAGGTGTGTTTATTCACTGTACACTACTTGTTATTCACACCCTGCTTTTAACTTTATAACAGACACATGAGTGATAAGCCCACATTTCTTTATCACCTAGATGCTAACAGGCTTATAGCAGCTACGCCCAAAAACACATTTGACTACTGCTCTCATCATTGCTCCTCAGCACCAAGAAATTTACCACAATTTATGTATGGTGCTGACAGTCATTAATCCTGAATATTAAACACAGAGCAGTAGGAGGACATTAAAGTCTAAAGGCTGGGGATATTTTCTATTTGTACAGTGTCCTAATCAGGGCTTTAATTGCTGAAATTCAGGTCAGTCAGAAACTTCAGAAATCTCCCATCCTCCCAGAATAATCCTAATTCTGGAAGCCATAACTAGGAGCCTCCTTAACCCTATTCAGTGCATTATTGTTTGGGTAGTAGAGCTCCTCAGTAAATGGTTTTATTTCAGAACACAGAATAACCCATCTAAGTCCTTTGAAAGGTGTTTCTGTTGTTTTTTTTCATTTTGCCTCGATTTTCCACAATGAATAGGAAGTTTGGACTTCCAGAGCATCACTGAGCTAGTGTGAGAACTCTTCAGTGGCAGAAGAGCTAGTTCTGTTGGCCTCTGGGATCACATTAATTCGTCCATAGTATGTGTGCTTAGACTTTTCTCAATGACAAGAAGTAACCAAATATTAATCATATCACTAAAAATACAGTTCTTAACACAGACAAGTCTGATGATCCCTGTCCTGTTGCCCCTGGCCCAACTTACCCTTCCCAGTGGAAGACAGCTCTCACAGCATCTCACATGCCAACAGCAAGCACCCCTGTGTGGAAAACAGAAATGGGAGACATTGCTGGTGATCTCTAGGCAGAAGTGCTGACCCTTTCCATAAGAGGTTCTCTCTTCCTCCTGGGAGTTCGGAAACCCTCCATGCTACCACCACTACCACGTACATGCGCTGGCACGGTCTGTGTTCTTTGCCCAGCTCAGCAGACAGGATTTCTGAGCTCCTGGCACTTTAGTCCTGTTCCCTGTGCTCACTGTAACCACCAAGCACATGCAAAATCTGATTTTATGTGTCTGTAAATCAAAGACATTAACATTTTTCTGCAGTGTTTCAAGGCAGAGAACAGTAATCCTAGAACAATCCTGCCTACCATGGCAGCAGCATTTTCAGTAATCCTGCCTTCCGTGGGGGCAGCATTTTCACACACAGTGTAGGATCCAGCAGGGTGTGCTGAGGGAGGTGTTTCTACACAGCTATGTATCATTTCCAAACCAGTTATCTGTGAACTGGAGTAAGTCTCTATATAGCATGTAGATTTCACTCAGGATGAAATTGGAAGAGCCTGTATTCATTCCAGAAAGACTGAAATTCCTGTTATTTAATTATGAAACACAAAAACATAGTATAGGATTGTTAACATACATTAGTGCAAAAATGTACAACCCAAAACTCTCCCCTGATAGTTCATTATCAGCAAACAGTCCTCAATTACATAAAACAAAATCTGACCCAACAATAACAACGAAAACCAGATTAATAAAATCTACATGTAAAAACTATGAGAACATCAATCCCTTCAGGCTGAAATGATGCAGTTGTACTTTACTTCACAATGAGGTTGAGCTGCTGTCAAGCTTACCTTGCATGACTCACGGTGAATCATGGACAAAATCATGTATTAGAGAAAGAGATGCTGCCCACACAGAGCAGTGTCTTGAGTTGTTCCCATCCTACTGCATCCCACTCCAAGGAAAACACTGGTTCATATTTGGCAGTGCAATTATTCTGTTAACACAGTTACATAGGTTATTTCTGAATGTTTCTAATGGGGAAGCTTTTCAATTTGTTAATACTGAGGTATAATTAACAGTCGGGAACATCAGGTCAAATCTAATCCCTAGCCATCTCAGAGAAATTCCCCATCTGTAGCATGGGGGAGGGGAGAAGGTACTATTATATGATATAATTAATTCAAAAATAATTGTAATGAGACAAAATTACCACATTGTTATCAAGAAGAAAGCAGTAGCAAACAGGAAATCAGAATTCATAAGCTAAAGCATAAATCCAGATATTGAAAGAGCATTATTACAAAAACATCCACAACTCACTGATTTCATTGAGAATTAAGTCTGTCTCAGAATTTGTAAATTTGTAAAATTGTGAAGGATTTGAACTCTGTAAAATAATCCCTTTCACTAAAGTATGGCATTGCTCATCTGTTAGAGTAAGCAGTATTAATTTTCTTTCTGCTGCTAAATTCCTGAACACCAGGGGACAGCAGAGACAAAGCCTTGGGAAAAGCTACAGAAAACTCTGTAGATCCAGATGGCGGTTTCCCCCAAACAACGTCAGTAAGTGGAGAGAAGCAAACAAATTACCTTCTTGGGCTATAGTGTTCCCAAAACATTCAGATCATATTCAAATTTTTTTCCCCAAAAAAACCTCAATCAATGATAAAGATCAAAGGATCACTTTGATTTTGTGGAGCTGAGGTAATAATATCTTCTGTGGAGGTTGTGTAACTTCTGCTACTGTGGTTATATTCAGTAATATTCAGTCATAACCATAAAAACCCTTCTCTTCTGCTTAATAGCCACTTTGTCTTTTTCCTTTTTTATACAAGACTTGATGGACTTTCAGGGTGTTTTATGGGCTCTGTGAGAACCAACAGGAGGTACATTTAAATTTTTAATAGGTAATGTTTTATTTGTGTTTATGGAAATTAAATTTAAAATCTTCAGCCATTAAAGCTAAAGGAAATATGTTAACTTGGTCAAATCAGGCTTTAGTTTTTGAGACAGTCCCAGCAAGTTAGTTTCAGTGTAGTATACTTCTGTCCTGAATCTTTGTTGCACTTTATTGAAAATGTGCATGACAACATCTGTATGTTGTCAGATTCAAGAATATAAGGGTCCACAAGGAAAGTAATAATACTGGAGGAAAAACTAATTGCATAAATGAAATTAAAGAGACAGAGCCATATGGGACAAGCCCAGTCCTAATAATCTTACAAATATCTACACTGACTGAAAAAAAATTAAAATTACAAATTACTATTTCACAGGGAAAAGATGTATATGAATAGCTCCACATGAGGCTGGAAACAGGAAGAAAAGGTTAGATTGTGATTTTAAATATGCGAGAAGTGCATCACCAGTTCCTGCAGGGCTCTAGAAACTGATCAGATAGCTCACCTGAAGCCAAATAGTTAAGTATGTGCTGTACATCCTGTTGAACTGTAGAGCACAGATACAGAGACAAGAAGGACTTTTTATAGAAAGACCATATGTTTGGCATTTAATTGTTCCCTTGGTTTTCTACCATGTAAGTTGCAGATGAGAACAATGCTATCTTCATAACGGTGAAAGTTTTCTTCAGTTGACAGAAAAGCACAAGGGTGCCTTCATCTGCTTGTAGAAAATCATTATAGAAACATTGAAACAAATGCATCATTATGAGTCCCTGCATACTTAGATTTGTCTCAATTCTTGGAAATATTTCCTGTGCATGGTGCTGCATTCCAGAGGAGCATCCACAAACTAAATAGTAAGAACTTGCAAAAGGCACAGTGAGTTAAAATCCTGTCTTAGTCTACTGTTCACTAAATAATTGCTTCAGAATGAGCATTTAATAGGTCACATTACACTTCAAATACAAAGGAACTTCTTTTAAGCACTAATTTCAGTGATTGTAATTTAGTCCTTCCCTTCCTCTGCAGCTGATAATGAAAATTAAGGATAAGCAAACAGAATATTACCTTCTTTTGACTGTTAGGTTTGCACTCATAACTGAGGAGTTCTCATGTATGTGTTTCTTGAGCTCATTGTAGCTTCTCAGTGGGTCTGAATGCAGTGGGAACAATGAGATCAAGCCTAGCAAAGGCAATGCGTGAGCAGTCTAGAACTTCACTATGGAAGAAGCTACAATCATGTACATGAATATTTCAATGCAAGGCCTTTCTGCTGCAGTGAGCTTTACTAGTAAGTCCTCTTACATCCATGTAAGCTTCACTGTGGGATCATGGCCTGAGACAGGTCCAGTGATTAACTTATGAAGTGCCACTGTCTTCTTTGCTTCTAGTTCAGTTACTGTCAACTCATCTTTCCCCTTGTTGTTCTCTCTCAATCTCAGCTTTATTAACTTCTCTTTGTTTAAAACCAAAATTTACCTGTTTTCTGTCAGCATGTGTTTATTGTATAAAAGTACACCACATAAAGCTGTTGTCAGGTAAAAGTGTTTCTGTCCATACAGCAAAAAGGAAAAATATTCTCCACACTTATTTTTTGTCAGGAATTGCCCTCTCAAGCTGAGGGTTGAGGCTAAAGCTGTAGCTTTCCACTTTCAAAGTATTAAACAGAAGCCTTCCTGCAGAAAGATAATTTGAAAGCAAAGCATTTTATGCCTAGCTGTGGTCACTTGATTTTATCTAGAGATAAAGAACAGTTTCCTATTGACATTTTAAAAAATTGTGAAATATTTCTCTCACAAGAAACATAAATATATCATTTCTTGTAGGCAATGCTTGGACGGGGCAATGGAGAGTCCTCAAGAAAGAAGGAGGATGAGGAAGTTCAGAGCAGGCACAGAATGATCCCCATTGGAAGAAAGATTTACGAGTTCTACAATGCTCCTATTGTGAAGTTTTGGTTTTACACTGTAAGAAGTCTTTCCTGTTATATTAATAATGCCTGTACAAAACTGAAATTGGACTAAGGTTATCTTTTGTGTTTCATTGATGTCTCCATTTATGAGTATTAGAGGGCTTACACATAAATAATTTAATAAAAATATTTGGTGGAAGTCCACTAGCATTGCAAACCTTTGCATGACTTTTAAAGATTACCATTTTGCTCAGGAAGTTAATGGCTAAAATTTGAGTGATTGTGTATGGGTTTTTTTAAATAAAATGGTAAGGGGCAGTTTACTGTAGTGCTTCCAAGAAATTCCATCTAGGAAAATTTAAAATAGGATTGCTTCCAATAGTAAGCCCAGTGGGAGGTTGGTCTGAGTCAGAATATGAATTATCTAATAACTGATGAAAAAAAGAGGTAGAGCACTTCTTTCCTTGGAACATTTTTTTTTTTTTTTCTGTTTTGACCAGTCTGTGGAGTGTCTTTCAGAGAAAATGTGCATGTAAGTATCCACAAGATATCAAAGACATGATTGACAGCAATTGTACATTTTTCAGGAACAAATTAAGCTAAGTCAGTATATTCCCTGTGTTAGAAAGAAAGGAAGCTTCCAGAAGGAGTAGAAAAAAATGATGTCATGTATTTCAACTATGGTAAAACAGTACCAGAAACTTCACAGGGTTTTCTCACACCTAAATTAATAAAGTTATATTAAAATTACTATGGGGATAAAAAGCTTTTTGACAATTAGTCCTCAAGAGTAGATATTAATTATTCATTATCAAGCTGGAAGCAGGGATTAAAGTTCTCTTCTATATCAGGTGCTATATGATAATTTTATTCAAAACTTGGATGATGGAGTAGAGATTAGTTATTATTTTAGTTATTATTTAGTTATTATTAGTTATTTTGCAAATTACAGTAGAATGTATAAGGATAAGACTAAAAAGATCACAAAAAGTGATCCTTTCAGTCTTCTTAGCTGGAATAGTCCATCCCAGTTCAGCTTCTGCATCGTGTAACAAGTGTGGACTGGTTTGAAAGATCCCAAAAAAGAAGAATGTTTCAAGAAGTTTGTAAAGCTTGACTTAAGGGGAGAGATTAAGGAAGCGAGAATGTTTTCTCTGTAAAAAATAAAAGGTCTGCAAAAGGAACGTAACAGTTTTTGCATATGTGTAAGTACCTCAAAATCCTTGCTAAACAGGATGAAAAATAACACCCAGACAGTTCTAGGTAAGAAATTGGGAAGCAGTTTCTAACTGCTCCAAGAAGTACTGTCATGAACTGTGTGAGGGCATGCTAGATTTTTTATTATTAGTGATTTCTAAACTGTCTTATCAAGACATACATTCATTGTGGTAGGCTGGAATTAATCCTGCCTCATCCCAATGGAATTGGCTAGATGGTTTCAGGTGGTTTTTCCCAGTCATATTTTCCATCACTCTGCTGAAAGCACAGCAAATCACAAAGAATGGATCCTTCTGCAAGTGACTTATAAGAAAAATTGCCTTGCAGATGTTGGGAACAACTCACATCAATCGAGTCTTAACTGTGGTGGACACTGTAGACTAGCAGAGTTTAACAACTTGGAGTAATTTATTGCTCAACTTGGTGGCCACTGGGCATTTGTCAAGCCCACAAGTCCGGAAACTACTCATCAGCAGCCTAGTCTCATTATCAACTGCAGTGTGTATTATGCACAAACAGAAAAGTCTTTACACTGCAAATGGAAAGAAGCATCCTGTTAGTTCAATTTTTAAATGGGAGAGAGAAATCAATATTGGATTTCCATTTAGGCTTGTTCCTACAGTTTTTTGTCCTGAGGCAGGTCTCAATCAAGGTCATTTATTAAAACTGGATCTTGGATATGCTGAACCTGGAGAGCAAGTTAAGGTGGATTCTGGTTTTCACGCTTGACCTGTTGTGTATATTGAGAACTCCTGGAGACTCAAAGCAAAACAAGTTTCAGAGAAGGATTAAAATTGCACAGCCTATCACATTTTGCAAATACACAGGCACAAATATTATTCATGGATTTCAATATAAATAATTCAGATTTTACATTCTGCAGTCCAAAATGCATGTAAAAGGTCCTATGGCTATTGTATATCACTTCAAACAATTTAAATATTCTGCATTTACCTATCTCTATTACTATATAGTTGTATTCACCTTCATTCTTCAAATACACAAGAGCAAGTTAAATGAGATATTTGAGTAAGTAACATTTGGCTCAGCAGACACTGGACAACTTTTTCTCAAAAAAAAACCCAAAACAAAACCAAACAAAAAAACCCAAAAAACAATGCAAACAAACCAACAAACAACTCCCCACCAACTTTAGCCTTTCTCTTTAGACATGCAGCAACTAAAAAACTCAACTGCTGTGTTGTGATTTGTGGCTGTTGCATTGGAAACCATGATGCAAATGTTTCATCCCACAGATTGCTTGAGCAGAAGAGGATCATCTTCTCCTACTGTTGACTACCGCCACTGTCCTAATATCAAAAACCACTTGCAGCAGTGTTAAAATAGCATAATAAAAAGTAGAGCTTTATTGGAAACTTCCAGGTGTCCTGGTGGTGATGTGCTCACATGGCATTGGATTTCTACAATTTTTATAAGTTTAACCAATTAGCATAACTAACTAAATATTATACAATTAGAAGAGTAGTTGGTTAGGCTATTTTTTCTGAGTACTGTCCCACTGGAGTTGATCTAGGGCTTCTTTGCCCCGTTTTAGATTGGGTCTCCTTAGATTCTGATTGGGAAACAGAAGCCTGCTTCTTGTCAGACTTCTTTTTCTTAAGAATAAGACTAACCAGTATTTTAGGAATGTGTTAGCAGGTTAACTTACTAGTCTGAAATCTAAGGGAAAGGGTAGCAAAAATACTAAGAACTATATAACTATTTAATAGTAGTCTAAAAAGCTACAAGTATATGAAAAATACATAAAAAGCAAAATCTTTAGGCATCACTACTACTAGCATAAACTGAGATACTAGCAGAAAGTAAGAGTTTATGATCATTTAATTATTTCAATCAATCAGAAAAGAGATGGGTGATCTCCTTCTTGAAGTATTAACCTATTAATACAATTTCCAGGTGTGTCCTCTACCACGTTTCTGTGGAATGGGACTACAACCATAAAGGGCCAGGTGCAATCCACTCTTGAAACTTCTTAGCAGGCACTTCTTTCCCTAGTTTCTTCAGCCCTCAAAGGTGGCAATGGCAGCTCCTAGATCTTTGTCAAGTCATGCAAAAGCAAGAAAAACCAGGGTCCGGCTACTTCTGTAGTATGTGCTGAAAGAATCTTGAGTACCAGCACAAACAACTACTCTGAAGTTTGACCATTGTGTTGGATCAGTGTCACCTCCTGGAAGGTGAGAGCAAGTTAGAGGTGTGGGGAGGGAGAAGGGGACTGTCATTCACCCTGTCACTAATTTCTTGGGTCAAAGTGGAGACATTTCAGTATAAGTTTACTCACAAATCAAGATTCTTTTCTCTTTTATCAAGCAAAAACATTTTGCAATTTTTACTATGTTTGAATTGACATAAATAAACCCGCCAAAACAAAAACCAAAAAAGTCAGCATTTAAAAAACCTGGAAGAAGCAAACCCCCCTAGTTACTGTTAGATTCTTGTTGTTTCTGTCACTTTTGTAACCTGTGTCCTCATTCTTTTGCCATACTGACTGCAAGTGCTCACCAAAGGCTGCTGAATCAGATCAAAGTAGATTTCCTGAAAATTAGTAATCAATAAGGTCCAAGAGAGTGTTAAGTAACAGTATCACCAGTTTTTTGCTCTGTATTAGAAGGTTCTATTTCCACTAGGGAGGTGTGTATCCAGTTCTGCCTGCCCAGACAGAGGTTCTCCCGACTCCAGTCTTGGTTTACATCAACATTGCTCTCCATTTCCTTTAGGAGTGGTAAGGGAAGAGCAGCCTCCAGACCCGCGCATTGCAATCCATCATCCCGCACAAACTGAAAGACAAATGAGATCATTTCCTCCTCTGTTCTATGCAAACAAGAAGTAGTGCTTCAACTGTCTGCTTCCTCTGTACTGACAGTTATGGCCAATAGAATGAATTCTCTTGAGTGTCCTCAGCCAGCAACTGGAACAAAAGCCAGAATCCTGTGGCTTTTACAGAGAGTGGAATTGACGTTCTCTAACAAATACAATAGAACTATAAACTCTGTTCTGTGATGTGCAGAAAATTGAAATACTACCCAAAGGTCTCAAGGCCTTCTGTGGTTGTTTCAGCTTACATGTGAACCGATGTACGCAATAGTGAGTAACAAGCAGTTGAGAGATAAAAAATGAATTCAAATATAGACGTATGCATTAGAGCTTTCTGTCACAATGACTAAATGTTCATGCACAGAACTGAGTCATCTTTTCTCTGATTTATATTTAGCCTTAAGATGCATTTTCTTATAGGGCTGCTGTTTGAAAGGCAAAGTAGACAGGCGGTTGGATTCTGGCCTCCACGAACCAGAGTGGAATCCATGCTAGATAGCCCATGCTCCAGAATGACACTCAGGTTTCCCTGAACTCTATAAGCTTGATGAGTCAATTTGCCTGACATATCTTTTTTTGACAGACCATTTAATTACATTCAGCATGCTGAAAAACAAAGAAAAACAAACTAAAAACTAAATTCACACTTTCCTCCAGGACAAAAATGAACCTGGAAGGTGAATATATTAGGAAGGAAAAGAAAAACATTCACACTTAAAAATTTGCAAAAAATATAAGGCAAATGAGTGCCTGGCTATACCTGGCTCCTTGCTACAGCAGTGTGAGTAGGAGTAGCAGTGTTTTGGGGAGGAAACATGCTATAGGTTAGGTCAGTACTGTGCCAGGTAAGAAGACCTCTAGTAATGCCTAAAATCTGGATTCAGAATGCCAGACTCAGCTCAGATTAGGTGAAGGGAGGGGGGGGAGAGGGGAAGGTGGGGGAGAACACAAAGAAGGGGTGTTAGAAGACTAAAGGCTTTTAGAAGCAGATGAGGGAGAAATCTTCACGTAGCTTACTTAATTGGGTAGTTGACATGGTGGTATTATAGTTGCCTTCACTGTGAGATGATCCAAGGGAACTGCATTAATAAAGTCTTTTTGAGGAGATAGATGTAGCTGGACATATGTGCATGTATTTTGCAGACTCCATACAGTGTGTGATTTAATGTGAGCTTTCTCAGACAACGCGGGACAGTCTTATTGTTCTTTTGTCAGTGAAACCCTGGTTACAGTAGAAACAGGAATATCAAATCATATCCAAGAAACTAGCTCCATTGTATGGACAGTGACAATTTATACTCTTTTTTTTTTCTTTACAGCTGGCATACATAGGCTACTTGATGCTGTTCAACTACATTGTGTTGGTGAAGATGGATCGCTGGCCATCTATTCAAGAGTGGATTGTCATCTCATACATTTTCACTCTGGGAATAGAGAAGATGAGAGAGGTAACGTCTCCCCAGCCAAGAAATAGTAAAAAAGTAATAAGCATGGGTTTTGAGGGTGTTTTTTTTCATTTTAATATCTTTCTTTATTCTTTTTCTCAGGGTACGTTTTTATGAATGAGCTTATAATAAAATTGCCTCTTTTTTTTAGAAAGCCAGATGGATTGTTTAAAAAAAAAGAAAAGCAGGAAAAAATCTATCTTCTTTAAAATTAGTAGTTTCTTCTTCTTCTTCTTCTTCTTCTTCTTCTTCTTCTTCTTCTTCTTCTTCTTCTTCTTCTTCTTCTTCTTTTTTTTTTTCTTTCTTTCTTTCTTTCTTTCTTTCTTTCTTTCTTTCTCTCTTTCTCTCTCTCTTTCTCTCTCCCTCCTTCCCTCTTTCCCTCTTTCCTTCTTCTTCTCCCACAAAATTTCTGTATTCAAATTTCAGTGTGATGCTCATTTAATAGCATTCACAAGGATGAGGTGATCCTCTGACAAGCCTTAAATGTCAGCTAAAATTTCTCAAAATGTGACTCTTTAAAATTTTTTTGATATGTCAAGCAATAATGTGCATCTCCCTAAGGATGCAAAAGCAGACACACAGAGCAGAGATAGACCATTTAAAGTAGCACTCAGTCTATGAAGTGAGTGAAGTGGCTCTGTTAACCCTGCCCATCACAGTCTCTGCCACCTAATACTGTCCTCTTTCACTTAGCCAAAGGTCCATTTGTTCCACAGTGACACCAGAGGCCCAGTTCTGCCCTAATGTGAGTGAATGCGAGTCCCATTGACCTCAGCTGAAATAGCACATTTGTACCCCTGGGCTAATCTGTTACCTGTTATGTTTGTACATTCTGAAGCCAGTGCTCTGGAGGACTAGACTAAAAATGGGCTTGCAACACTTAGTTTTCAAAGACAGTTTTCTGACACTGTGTGGTAAATGCTACATTATAAATAAAAAGAACAGAGGAAAAGACACTGCTTGAGTGACCCATGAGTACACGTCATTAGGCAGAAGAGAAAGGAAAGCAGTGGCTGTAGCCACACAAGGACGCTGCAACTCTTATGGAGCCAAGGCACTGCTGGCTCAGCAGGTAGGAGGCTACACTCAGGAGTTGTGCAACCTGGTTTTTCTCTAATCATTCACCCCAAGCTGACATTTCCACAAAAGTCTACCGACAACATTTGTCACAATTGATTTCTAAGCAGAGGTTGGAATTGTTCACAGGTGAGCCCAAAATTCATTCCAAAAACAAATTCATCTTTTTTGAGGACTTGTGTGAGTTTGTTGGAATGTTCTTGGGCTAAATATACAAAATGAAAGCCAACAGCTTAACTCACTAAAATGTAGGACTTATTCATGGAAATCACTTGAGTAATGGTTTTAAGAGTAGTTTGGGAAAACAATCAAATGATCTTGCAAGGAGAATGACAATAAATTCATAAGGTAAGATTATTTATTTTTGTGACCTTTATTCTTGGCTGTGTGTTATTTTCAAAAAACAGGCCCAAGTAGTATCTAGTATCTCTCTGTATTAAATTTCTGATGCAGAGCTTTCTGGTTATTAATTATTTCTTGGTCATTTGATACACATTTTAATGTAACTTTCTGTAAATCTATGCCTTCTATAAATGTGACTTTTCTGATTGAAAAAATCTTTCTGTATTTTACCCTCTGTTCCAAGACCCTAGGTAGGGTAAATACATTTGGAAAACAGAAATACGTACACATATTTCTCCTGATTTTGTGAGGATTTTAGACTGAGTCCTTTGTCCACTTTGTCCTTTAAAGTATCTTGCACATAGATACATGTTAAGAATATTTGAAGATTTTAGGAGAAAAATAACAGAGAATACCTGAGATATTTGGATGGTAAGGCTCTATCAGCATTTCTTTTGGCCTGTGTGGCATATATCTATCTGCCTACTACAGATTTCTTCACCTTTATATTAAAACAGTTCAGATCCTCTTCTCTGCATTTCCTCTCTCCTTCAGATCCTCATGTCAGAGCCTGGGAAACTGCTGCAAAAAGTCAAAGTTTGGCTCCAGGAGTACTGGAATGTTACCGACCTCATAGCTATCCTCCTGTTCTCCGTTGGGATGGTTCTCCGTCTGCAAGACCTGCCTCTCCGGAGCGACGGACGCGTCATCTACTGCGTCAACATCATCTACTGGTACATCCGGCTGCTGGACATCTTCGGCGTGAACAAGTACCTGGGCCCCTACGTCATGATGATCGGGAAAATGGTAAGAGCAGTTGGCAAACCTCTTCTCTTTGGCAGCGTGTCCTTGGCTCAGTGTCCTTAGCCAATGGCATTGCTGCAGATCCACCTTTATGATTTTTACATTAGTGTTTTCTAGTGAAGGCTAGAAATCGGTGCTTTATTGACTCAAAACCTCCAGAATCAAGGATTACATTTTTCCTGTTCTGTTAGAGGATGTATCATTTTTCTTCCTCTGACATAACAGCAGAGACACCCTACACGCCTGTGTGCCTCATTTGCAGAAAGTACAAAGGAGATTTGGTGATTATAAAGGAAGGTGGTTTGTTAAGGTAAAGAAAAAATTGTTCAGGTGTGTAGTACCTTGAGACTCTCAGTGTGTTGTAATAGTCATGTTGTCTTCAAAACTATAATGGTTATGGTTGAGACTGACTCTTCTACAGTTTGATCCACATCTACATGCTCTTCCATCACAGAAGTTCAGGTGTGTCCTTGTGACATGAGAAGTCCATTTGCATAAGTGCAACCTCTGTGCCTTGGCCACATCAGTCGTACACACCGTAGCAGGAATATTAATAGCTTGTGTGATAGTAAATGCATGCATGAGGAATCAAGAGACATTTGCTTCCACGTGCTTGACTTTTAACGTTTCAATTTCAAATTTTCATGTTTCCATTGAAGTGTTGCAATTAAGCAGCATTTTGCTTGTTTCAGTAAAAGAAAATGGCTGGATTTATGGATGCACATGCACACATCCCTGATATTTGGATACCTGCACAAGTAGATGATACCTGTGTTCATGTTTCACGTACAGTATCCAGCTTTTCTTGTGTAAATCATGTTGGTTTCATGCATTTTGAGGTTTGAGATTTGGGGTTTTCCAAATAGATTAAAGCCACTTGAAGCTCACTTTAAGTAAAAAAAGTAAACTGAATATTAACTCCACTAGATGAAATACTGCTACCTGTTTGGTATGTGGCAATAATCAGCAAGTCCAAACAGGCTGTCTGTTGTATTTATCTTAAAATGGTCCTTAAAGAAAAGCTTCATCCATCGCCACCATCATAAGAAAAGGGGACATGTATGAGTGCATGGACTACAATATGGTATTGTAGTCCATGGTATTACTTGGTATTACAGTAGTCACAACAGGCTCAGTGAGCAGGTATAAAACTGAAATACAAAATATACATCCAGTTACACACCCTATCCAACAGGAAACCATTTCCTTATCCCCTCAATTTACCAGCTTTCTACTGCAAGTCCACAGTTCTGGGTTTGACAAAGAAAGTAGAGCTTAGTGGAAAAAAAGCCAGGGAGAGAGATTGAGGGAAAACATGAAAGTGATAGTTGAGTTGTTATGTCCTGGAAAAGGGATTTTGAAGCACCCTACCTTCAAGAAAGCCTATAGGAGGTTGACATGAGGTTTTGCAGAGCTCCAGAATGAAAATACTCAGCAGTTCTTTTTAGAGATTATTGTAAAAAGACAGCAGGACCAGAGAAAGGAATACAGATCAAAGAGAAAACACTGCCTTAGCAGGTTCCTTTCCTGCCACATTTGGACTCTCTTTCTGCTGGTGGATCTGGTGGTCCCTGGAGCTTACACAATATGTGGTGTATAAAACTTGTGAATAAACACCTACCCCTTTACTCTGCTTTATTTTTCACGGCTACATGCACTTAAAGTTTCAGAACTGTGGTGCTAACACAGGCAGTGTGAGCAGCAGTTCAATAACAGAGGGGCTGTGTTTAACAAACTTCTAGTCTGTTACAGGTGGCTGACGGGAGCCCAACTCCACCAGCAGTAAAAAGAATGGTTCATTTTTCTTCAAGGTCACATAGAAAGGAAGTGATTGAAATTAATAGCGTTTTCATTCCTGTGTCGCTTTCACATGCGTACAACAAATCAAACCTCACTCCACTTTCCATGGAAAACAAATGCAGGAAAATATCTAGCCTCTGTGTGCTCAGTATCTGCATTAGAGGGTGTTGAATTTAGCAGCCAAATAGTTCTGAAGCTCTGGGCAACTGTTAAAGGAGCAAAATTACTCTATTTTGTGCCTTCATGTTGCTTGGTTTTCATAATTTATCCAGCTCTCCTTGCACTTTCAGCCACTCTGACACATCCCCTTTGCCCACACATGCAATACACAACCAGTTTGAGTTACACAGATCAGCCTCTCACATCTATTTTCTGACCAGCTTACTCTCTTGTACAGCTCATGTCCAGCTCATGCACTCCCTGGGAGCTGCACCTGCTGACTCTAGGCTGCTCCATGGGCTCGCCTGTGTATTTTTGTTTAAATCGTGTGTCTCTCTACCTCCTTGTATTCTGTCTTCCAAATGGTGTTGGAAGTTCAGTTCAGCACTGTGACATAAAGGACATAAAGTTGGTTATACATATTTCTACAGAGTAAACACATCACAACTACTGCAGTCCTCAGCAGACCATATTTAATGCCTGAGACCTTTTTTTGAGCTTCTATAGTAAGTTTGACACACAGGAGGAAAAGGATGGCTTTTTCTCCTTTTCCAGTGCTGAGCTTTCTCTTAAACTGCCTCTACACTGCAGTCAATGAAATAGCTGTAATAAGTTTTGTCTTTGGCCACTCTGAACAAACATGCAAGGGAAATTAAGCAAGAATCAGGAATGGGTTTGAGTAGTTTAAGAGCAATAGGTTAACGCAAAGAAGAAGATACAAGGAGGAAACTGGATGGCCAAGCTTATTATTGTCTACTGATTTCAGTAACAGAATACGCTTCTGTTTTTCTGATTTATGCACAGTGATACATCTAGTTTCCTTTAGGAAATTTCAGGGATTAAATTAAATCAAATGACTGTGGAATGTCAAGAGATTCAGAGGTATATCAGTTCCTTTAATATGTGGAAATATCTGCATTTTTTTAGCATTTCTGCAAATAAAGCAGTTGAAGTATAGCCAACTTCTTTATGAAATTGTACCCCCAAAAATTGTGGTTTAACACTTTTTTAAACAGGTAACTGATGAGTTCCTTAGAATGATTGAAATAGCCATTGCCTTGCTAAAACAGCAATTGTAATTGGTCAAAGGACCTGATACAATGGTCAGTGGAAATTTGTCTATATATTTCATTGCATTTCAGACAAGTTACTGAGAGTTTAGGAGACACCCAACTGAAGGAGGAGAAAATTAATGTGAGTCTTGAGTAGAGAACAGCACTAAAATTTTATTTCTTGCAACATGAGGTCACACCTGTGTGACTCCTGATCAAAAACACTTGAAACATTTAAGACATTGTCTTAAATTGCCTCAAAATACTGATTATGTTTTACTAGTTTGCATGACATTTTAAAATATTTATTACATTACATCATATCAAGTTATATATTGCCATCTGAAACAAAGTTTGATCAGACAAGAAAGGAGGAATCAGGTTTCACTTCTTGGTTTGTTCCCTAAAAGCAGTGAGAACTAAATATCATTATTCAGCTTTCCCATTTCAGGATGCTTTCTGCAGTAAAATGATCTGGAATTTCTCTTCTTAAAGGAATATTTTTTTTGAGAGATTAGTGCCCTGAGTTAAATAGGAATGTTGATGGTTGACTTCACTGGGTTTTAATTATTTAAAGCATTTGTTTTCCTCTCTCATGTCCGCAAGGTCTTTTGTCTTTCTTTCCTGCTATTTTTATGAACCTCAAGACTTTTGTTTTTCCCTGCTTTTTTTTCACTTGTCCTTAGTTCCTTCTTTCCATCTTCCTGATTTTCTCTCATCTGACCCCTGTTCTGCTGGTGCCTTTCTCCTAGAGCCTCTCTCTCTACACACGAGCATACCTTTTTCTGTTTGGCACCCTGTAACCCTCTTTTCTCTGGTACATACTTTCCCAGTGTTGCTTTGGCCTCAGGTTGCTTTAAAATTGAAGAACCCCTGCAGCAGTACCAGATCCATCTGCTGCAAGCAGGTCCCTCTTCCAGCAGCTCCTGCTACAAGCAGCCCTGCCCTTGGGCTGCAGCAAGTGCCCAGTGGAGCCATAAGGCCACCAGCTGAGGTGCAGGTTGGTTTCACGCCTCTCCTGCAGGAAGGACTGAATTCAGCTGAGCCAGAAAATACAGAGACTAGAGGGAATAAAACTCATATAAGGTTTAGAGGATTCTTAACTTGAGTTTTTGCTAGAGACAAAAGTTGTGTCCAGAACAGTGAAAAACAGCTCAATTGTAACAATTATGAAGACCTGGCAAGTCTGGACGTTTCAAAGCGATCTTACCAGGGACTTCACACCTCTCCCGTTGTTTTTCATATGCACTTTGGGTAATCTCTGCTGTACCTGCCTGATACCCATTGTTCTGCTCCCTTGAGGGCCTTTTCTAGAACAGTGCGTCTTCTACTCTTCAGATCTATTCAGCGTCTTGTAGGATTGCTGTCCCACATTTTTCAGGAACATTTTGAATGGGTGGGCACTGTTTGCAAACACTAGTTAATCTTGGGCATATGTGAATGAGGCCCTCAACAGTGGAGAAGAACAGAGTTCACTGTCTGTTATCTGATTGGGTTTTTTAATGCAGCATTTGTCAGATTCCCCCACCATTTGGTGGATTTTTAGCCCAGCCAGTATCACAGCTTTCCTTTCTCACTGGTTGCCACCATGGTGTCCCTTATGTTGCAGTAACAGGCTGTTCTGCCACCCGTTCCTCCGTATGTTAGCTGCAGCTCCCTTTGCTCGGAGATAGTGACTACCAGTGAATAAAATTATCCATGTGAGTCCTCTTGCTTAGGTACAGTTGCCACTTGGTGCCTATAAACATCATCTTACGCCCCTTGCCCAAACCAGGCCGCTGATTCCAGTGAACTCATGTATTCCTGTTGAGGCAACTGTGTGACCAGATGGTACTTTGGATTTTCAAGCCTTTTCATAACATTTGAATTGTTCTTGGAAGTCACACTGGGTAAAATCAAGGACACAATAATACCACGTCACTTCTTTGGAAAATATTTTTTTTTTTAATGTGTAAATGAGAATGGATTTTCAAAATTTGTTTCTGAAAATTCTGTTTCTAAGATTCACAGACTTTTTCTTTTTTTGCAGCTCATAATAATAGCAATATGGACAAATAAGTTCCTCTAATTCTTGTCCTTTCTCTTTCTTTTTCTCTCCTTTTTCCTGTCATTACATTCAGATGATAGACATGATGTACTTTGTCATCATCATGCTGGTGGTTCTGATGAGCTTTGGTGTGGCAAGACAGGCAATTCTCTTCCCCAATGAGGAGCCTTCATGGAAGCTGGCGAAAAACATTTTTTACATGCCTTACTGGATGATCTATGGGGAAGTGTTTGCAGACCAGATAGACCGTAAGCAAGTTTATGATTCTCATACTCCAAAGTCAGGTATCCTACTTTGATCAGATGATGTCCTATTAGATTATGTGTGTTTGCTCAATACATGGCTCTGGATAGAGGAACTTCTTCAAAACAGAGAATGGACACAAAAGTATTTTTTCAGCTAGTATTGGGGTGTCAGTTTCAGAACATGCTTCTGGTATCACTTTGCAATCATTTAACTGGAAATCTGTAACGCTGAATTATCATGTATGTAGAGAAGGTTATAAATGTGTCCCTTTCACCAGCTTGGTGGCAAGAATCCCCTTCCAGGTATCCAACATGAATTTGGTAGTATACCTGGGACACAAAAGGTCACTTATTTTTTTTTCTCATCCCTTGTTTTATTTTTACACCTAAATGCTTTTTGTCTAACTTCATATTGATCATTGTGTCTAATAATTAGGGGTTAGACCATTCAGCTCCTGTATTTCATGGGGATATAATCCGATGAGTTTTCTTTTCTCTGTTACCTTCTCAGTACCACATTTAAGCTAAACCTTGTGATGCAATTATTTGGATCTAATAATTAGATCAATTTTTAGAATATTGCTGCATTTATTTTTAGAAGGCAAGACTGTGCTCACACCAATGCAAAAAGGAAAGAGCCAGTACTGAATGTATTATCTCCTCAGGATTCATCAGACAGGTGATCAGGAAAATGCTGGGTTTCTGTTTAGATTAAATCTTATGGTCCCACTCGTTGCATTACCACTAAAAGAGAGAGCTGCTCATGAGAAATGATGCAGTAGATGACCAAACTAAGAATTACAAACAACGTAATATTTTGCAACTACTGTCACATAACTGGCGTTCATCATTCCTGCTTGACTATGTGTAAGTCTTGGCAGCATTTGGAAGTCAGTACTTTTTCCAGTGGCAGATGGCTTCCATTAAAGCTCTGCTTAAGATATTTCATTTTGTTCTATGCACCATCTTAGGAAAGAACATTATTTTAAAAATTTATTTGCTGTTTGTTCAATATTGACAAAGTTTGAATGAAAAAAAAAGTTATTTTTCCTGAGCTGATTTAAAGTAATGAATGTATCTATATCACAAATAATGCCCCCAGCTGAATATAGTTTCAGTATACGTATCCCATGGCAGATATTTCAGCAGTTTCATGTTAACTTCTCCTTCCTGGCTAGCACAGAATCATTATTCTGGATACAGATGAAATTTCCTTTTTATCTTTGCTTCCCTACTTGGTTTTCAGAGGCAGCATGGCATGCAAGGAAATAAGCAAATACCTGTAATCACTGTATTTCTCACTGTATCTCACTTTTTACCCAATTCCCTCATTTTAATCCTTTTCCCTTTTCTTTACTTTTAAAAAATTCATAATTCCAAAGGCGTAATAGTTGGGGATATAAAACTTTGTCTTGCTCTAAAATCATATTTTAGATGGATAAAGGTTTGTACCATTAAAATAATACTTCCTTCTACAAGCAAAATAATGTCTGCCCCTCTACAAGTGGCCTTTTATTGATATTGTACTAAGTACCATTAGTAGTTACTAGTGTTACTAGTAGTAGTTACCAGTAGTAGTTACTAGTAGTAACTACCATTAGTGCAACAAACGTGGCAATTGGCTGAATAAACTGTTCTTGTTGGTTTTTTTCAAATGAAGGGATGATTACAGTTTACAGAACCCGTAAATGTAGGAAACTGAAGGGTGTTTAAGTAGGAAAACAGGGTGGCAGGCTGTACACCCTTGCATGAGGATTTGTGTTATTTAGATGCACAGCATTTAAATAATTCAAAAAGATGCAGAGTAATTATTTCTGAAGCTTAGGGAAAGCAAAATTCCTGGTGGCCTAAACTCTAGGTTTAAATGTAGACATATTGTTTTTCTGCCTGTATCAAGGAAACTTGGAGTTGCAGCAAAAGTGATGATGTCAAAATGAAAAGCAGCACCTACTTCCTCCTTCCTGAGTGGCAGATGATTCAGGGAATTAGAATCTGCCACTCTTCCAGCATAAATTATGTACAGTATGTCATGTCTGTCTGATGCTCAGTTGTCTCAAAAATGTTATCTGTGGAATTGATTGGCAGCACAAGCAATACTCAGTGATGTTTTCACACAATCAAAATGACCCAGAAGGTTTTACTAGTATGCTCACATTCTTTCACTGTTTAAACATTAGCTATAGTTTATATTTTCCATGTGGTTCTAAGCTAAATCAGCCACTGTACTCATGTTAAAGTGCTACAGTGTTTCTATTTTCTCAAATAAGCATGTTCTAAAATTGTTATGCTACATCTAAACTGCAATTTAACGTCATGATTTAAAGCACTTTTTTTAAAAATCAGTATTATTTTAGCAAAAAAAGAAGTAGTTGCTTTGTGATTTTGTTTATATTTTGATATTTAATATTGCTGCATTATTAGCAAGCTTGGGTTTCAGTAAAAGTGCTGATCATGGAAAAGCATGTTTATTTGAGCCACTCTCCTGGGAATCAGACCTGGTAGTCTGAGAAATGTACAAAAAAAGTAGGCTACGCTAACATCTCTAATTTACTTTTTTTAAGAAAAATCGGTTTTATCTATTTAGTTAATTACTTTTATTTTATTTATGAAGCATGCCATTAAAGCTGAGCAGATACGACATCTGGATCCATCTCATCAGCTGTCAGCCTTTTCATCCAGTGGGTCTACTCTGATTTTTATTTCAACACAATGCTAAATGCCTTGCTCTAAAACAGTGCATATTTACATTTTTTACCCATAGTTTCTGTATTCATATCATTTTTTAAGGAAAAACATGTAAGCTGGAGTATGTGTTAGTGTCCTGTTGTTATGTGATCTCATCTTCAACTCAAAAGTGAGGATGGATTATATCCTCACTTCTGGGATTATGAACACATTATTCAGTGGTGGTGTTTATTATCAGTGATGTCCATAACTGCTACAAACCTACACATTTCTGACTAAGAATCAGTTGTAAAGTGGGGCAGAAGGAGAGTAAATCTTTTAGCTCTGTGTTCAAATTTTCAGGTTAAGTCAACAAAACCAGCAAAACCACTCTCTAAGTAGTTCCTCTCGGACTGACGGTTCATAATATGACCTAAAAGCCTTGTCGTATTAAACAGGTGTTCCAAGTAAAAAGATGTAGAACTAGAATGGTCAGCTTCAGTGATTCTTGGATGAAGAGAGTGTGAGAAGTGAGAACTACTGGATATGCCTAAAACATGCTGAGGGAGGAACCACAGACAGTAACACATGCAAGAGTGACCGCTGCTAGCAACAGGGACATCCTGGGTTCCTGGTGCTCTTTCAGTCCCAGATACCCATTAAATCCACAGCCCAGCTCCATGGCTTGGGGAGTGGGGAACTGGAAAAGACAGACTTTAGTATCACAGTGCAATCATAATGGTCTTCCTGTAGGTCTTTGAGCAGGAAATGAGTAGAATATGATCTATAAACAAAGGAGGTGCAATTGCAATTAATTAGACCATATTTTTCCCACAAGTGTATCTAGATGTTCAGTTCATTCTATGTAGCTGATCTGGCACAGACAGAAGATTACACATACCATATTATCTACTCAGGGAGTTTTAGCAATTGCATGGAACAGTCTTTGGAAGTATGTAAAGATCAAGGAATAGTAAAGCTACTATAGTATGCTATAATAATCAAGCTACTTCATGGAAAAGTCCAGCCGGTCCAAGTGAAACATCAATAATGACTGAAACCACCCTGAGCTATTGAGTTTTGACTTGGGCCTAGAAAACCCCAATTACCAACTATTGGGATTCAGATAAAGGCTTAGACCTTAGAATTTAAAGCAGGCAGTAAGCTAATCAGGTTTATAAATTATTTAAAGGTCTGGAAATGAAAAATTAATATATTTCAGGAGAGGAATAATAATAAGACCTTGATAAATTGAAAAAAATTAGACTGATATCAATTATGTAGTTGAGTAAAGATATATTATTATCCACTGATAGCTGGGGAAAGAAGGAGAATCAGAATCAGGGAGCTGGTGATGGCACATGCAGCTGTCTCACTTTGAGGCTGTCTTTCCTAATCCATCTGTGCCTTGTGCTGCCCAACAGGATCCATGGGGCAGCAGCCAGCCATGTAACTGCTTCAGTGAATGCCTGTCCAGAAGTGGATTTCCCACAAACGCTGTAAAATCTCTCCCTCAGTTCACCACACATTGGCACTTGTGCTGGCAGTTTTAGCCAGGAACATTCATAAGACAGTTCTCACCTGTGAAGAACTTTGTTTTCACCTTACAAAACTATCCACCCCTCCAGAATACTATGGATACAGAAGGATATAAGAAATACTGAAGTGGAAATGTGAGTTTGTTGGTAAAAAACATGTAGGTAGAGGAAACAAATGCCAGCTTGGGAAATGGCAGTCATCTGTAGAAAATGAACATCAGAGCTCATATTTTCCTGTATTCAGAAGGCTAAGCAAATGAACCTGCTGTTAATCGACATGGCTTCTGGGAAGTTTTTCAGATTTTCCTGGTGTCTCACAGGTTGGATTTCCATCTGGATGTTCTTACCAGCTGACAATACTTCATATGCCATATGGAATCTGAAGATCAGCCTGAATTGTGTTTGTTTCTTGTGTCTATTTCTGTTTTGGAAAAACCTACCTAGTTTAAGAGAAAAAGATCGGACCTCTTTCTCTTTCAATTGTATTAGAGGAATATCAAGTAAACAGAATGCAATCATTTTAGAAGGTGAGAGACCCTTATACACAGGTTTTAACTATTCAATGATCTTCAGAGGAAACTATATAATTACTACAAAAAACTTTTTAAAAATTCTTTCAATTTCTTAATCTGTTAGACCTGTTTAAGTTTTATAATTCTTGAAAATTTCTTAATACAAATGAAAATTATATACTAAACTCTTTATGACCTTACAGGCTGCATGCTTTTCATGACTCAATAGGAGCTTCCTACTTGGTCTGTCATTTTCATGGACCATTCTGGAATTAGAACAAACAGAACAGCTCTGTACAAAATAGAATAAGTCATACCTGTAGCAATGCTTTTAATGTTGTTAGACAAAGGTGGCAGATAAGATTTTTGTGCAGACTACAGACAATGTTGAAAGTCGCTCTGGGCTGGATTGCAGCAGTATTCCCATATCTAGCTCTTCTGCTGTTGTAATTCGGGTTCTATTTGGTTGGCTATTTTTAATGGGGGAAGGAGGAGAATAGGAGGAGGAGGAAAGCACTAGAGTGAACAAGAAAAATGCAGGGATTTTCTATAAATTATTATTAAAATACCAGCAGATGGAGGGGATCCTTCAAAGTCACGTTTAATGTGGCCTGGGTCAAGAAGCAACGTGGAAGGTCAGGATGCTGTAATTAAAGAAACATGTTCAACTCCATGGATATTTCTACTGATGAACAGAGTAATTCTGTGAAATTCAGCATTCACAGATTTTAGTATTGGCTTCATCAGTGAAGAAGAGAACAACTTTAGGAAGGCCACTTAATATTTTTTTGGAGAGGGGGTGGCGGGTTTAAATATTTACCAGCCTGGTAAGCTGGTAAGGCTGCTTAGACATTTGGTTCAGAAATTATAAAACACTTTCACATCTTTTGGGTTCATTGTGGGTCAAAATTGGAAGATGCCTACGTACTTATAAATAGGATGATGAAAGTGCGTTAAAAATAACCAGACTTGAATTTTTTTAAAAAATTGGTTTTTGTTATTTGGTCGCACTTATTTGTTTCCACTTTATTTAGAATTGTGAACACAGGAAAGCATCCCTCAGTTTATTGTGATTTCAAACAAATCAGTTTGTATTGTAAAAGTGGTATCCATTTTTATAGGAGAAGTTTTCATCAAAGGCAAAAAGCTATTCAGTGGCAGACCTGTTCAATCGTGCACTTTTATCTCTTCATTATTTCCCACACCTGCTTTGGAAGGGTGCAGTTGGGGGAAGAGTCATGATGCAGAAACTCACCAGCATCCTTTGCCAAGCCCTCCACCCAACACACAGTAAAAGTGAGCAGTGCCCTTGTCATGACAGTAATTACAGCAGGGAAACTAATTCTTCCTGAGCTCTGCCTCCACGTTAGGCCTGAAACCCACAGCAGCTTGAATTACTTTCAGGTTTTTTGCAACTGTTTCCTGGACAGGAAAGAGGAAGAGTTAGGTACGTAGCAAGTAAGGCGCAGCAGGAAACTGTAAAGGGGAGCCAGGAAGGAAAAATAAGCAAGGAAAGAGATTGTGAAAAAGGAAACAAAGGATGCAAAAAGTATGTACATCTACAGGCGTCAAGATGCAATGTTTGAAAGCTTTGTGAAGTTAATTAATATAATTGAAATTAAAACTCAAACCATTTACTGTTTTCTAAAGCCTAAGTTCAGGACATAGTGTCTGAACTTTATCCAATGGCCTGTAGGTGTCAGAGCTGTTGGCTTTCTCAGTTACCTGAGATTGGCATATCGTTATGCTACCAGAATTTGTTTCTTCAGGAAAGCATTTCACTAGAATTAAGTATTCTGTGGTTTGTGTTAGAGCAAGGCTATAACGTAAAACAGATGAGTCAAGTTTGCATACATGTTAATATTGTGCTTTGAAATATATTGCAATATATTAATGCACAAATTACAAAAATTACTTCATTTCTCCAAAAATAATTAAAATTTTTGAATGATGTTACACATGAAGGATGGCACAGATTCCTCAGGGGTGAGGCAGAGCACACACCTTTAATTAATAGTGGGGGGGAAAAAAACCTTTTAAAATAAATGTCATAGTTTAAATATGAAAGAAGATGTTCAATGACATGCCATGGAACACAGACTGCTGCATTTTTGGACACACATCATACATTTTCTCCTGCAGCTGAAGATGTGAAAATTAAGTGGTGGCTTAGCTCCCCATTAGTAAGGCAAGAAATGAGTATTCCTGTGTTATTTTAAAACTGCACCCACAACAAAACATGCAAAAGAGAAAAACTTCTGCCAGGCTTCAGGACAAGGTGGACCACAACAGGTATATAGAACAGACTGTGGGAACATGTCTGCATAGGAAATCTAATTTGGCTATCACTGAGTGGCTTAAACCAACAGAGATTACCCACTTGTGAGCAAGTAGACCTGGAGAAATACTTCTTGTCTTCTTAACTGTTTTGTTTTTGTTTTTTTTTTTTTTTTCTAGATTAAATTCTGTGGTTTTAGGTGAAAAAATGGTATAGTATATTTGGAACCAGAGTTGGAGCTGAGTTTTTGGTCTCATTTATCTAAGGTTTGAAAAATGCTTTTCAAAATTTTTCTCATTACTTGGTAAGATATTATTTGTTCTGTTTTCAGCACAAAAAAGGACAACAGCTTTCAGATACTGTGATTGTTCCATCACTGCTGAAATCATGAAGGGTTTTGGTACTTTGTTGTATTGGACTTTGTACATCTGACTCAATGTATGAGCAAGTTAATGTTTCCACACAAACAGAGATGTAAGTTTCACATTGAGTGCTGATAGCAAGAGGTATTGAATGGTGCAGTTTCTGCTGGGTGAAGGCCAAGAGCAGAGAGCCCTGCACTCCCAGCACCTCACTGATGGTATTCTGAATGTCTAAATGAAACCACTGTTTGGAGCAGTGTGGAAATAGCCCTGCCCTAAAATGATGAGCAAAGTGATGTTTACTAAGAAATGAAGAATTGGATAGTCTCAGCCTGCTCCAGTAATAAAATGTGGTTTTGCAAACAGGAAGGACTGGTAACACCATGTGACCAAAAACAATGCTAAAAAGCAGTGTTGCTTGTATTTGACTCTGGGATTTCTTTTCCAGTGAGTTGAATATTTTTGGAGAGGTCATGTAGTCTTGTGTCACATATAGCTACTATAGTTCTGTGTGTAATAGGCTAGTATCTATGTGTAGTGCTCAAAACACAGTACCAAAATCACACAAAATGTAATATGATGGCCAGTAGAGGCATCCACAAGTGAATGCCAAGCTCCGTGAACCAAGTTCAGAGAAACATTTTTGAGAAGATGCAATGGTTGTTACTGGAAATGTGGATTTGTTGTCATACAATGAAATTCTGCATATGGCATCATCAAACCTCATTTTCTATGAAGTCAGTACAAAACCACCACTGATATCACTAGAAACTGAGCCAGTGCTGAGCACTTTGGAAATTCCTCACTTAAACTTCTTTTTGATGGAGGTGAGGGGAAGCTAACTGTAGTGCTGTGCAAAATTCACTAAGATGGCTGTGTAAGGATCTTAGTAAGCTACTGCTTCCATTATTTTCTTGAAGAGCTGATTATGGAGATACATAGAACCACCAGGACTGAAACTACAGAGACATAAACTGAACCCATGCTTGCAGATTCACCACTGCACATGAAGGCGTATTAAAACACAAGCAGGGAAAACTATTTCAACATGTTTTCTCTCCCCTTGTTTCAGTTCTACAACATTAATACCGAGAACATTTTGCTTCCAATGTATTTGCGGAAGAAACAGGTGGCATCTCTGCTGCATACATGTCCCTGTACCTGGTTCAGTAAAGACTTGATAATCTCCCCCACTGTTTCTAGGCATGCAGTCAGGAGTCCTTAATAGCAGAAAGTCGTTATGAGTATGTCCTAGTGGGGCTTGAGACAGTGCAGTGCACACAATAAACGTCTACTCTTTCATTTGCTTCCATAGACTTCCTTTTCCTTATTTATCACATCCCTCTCTATCCATAAAAAAAGACAAGGTTTTCACTTTTAAAGGAATAATATACAAGCTTTAAAGGAATAATATGCAAGTAGGATTAAACAATTCAGTAATTTCATTTTCACAGCCACTAATTGCCACCAGACTACCATATTATTTTGTATTATGTACGCATACAGGCAGCTTACTTGCACCAGGCATGTGTCCTGAGGGAAATATCTTGATACCCATGGCACATAACACACAATAACAAGAACTGCAGCCTCTAAAATCTGTGATACCAAGCATAAACTTCTGAGGGGAGAACATCAATGCTATTGTTATTTGGAAGATGTTGCCTTGGCAGGCAGGCCATTATAAATATTTAAATATTTCTGCAAAAACTACTGAAAATATAAGATTCATTCCCATTTTGCTTTTTTTGTTTTGGTTTTTTTTTTTTTTTTTTGTTTCTAAATTTTGTTCCCAGCACCTTGTGGTCAAAATGAAACCAGAGAAGACGGCAAAATAATCCAGTTACCTCCCTGCAAGACAGGAGCATGGATCGTTCCTGCCATCATGGCCTGCTACCTCTTGGTAGCAAACATCCTTTTGGTGAATCTTCTCATTGCAGTTTTCAAGTGAGTGACACATTGCAAAGTATAGGCTTGGGGAGGATGCATATTGTTCACAGCCTACAAAGGCTGCTGAGCTTTGGCTTTGGCTGAGAGACATTTTCCAAGGATGTAAGGGGGAGAGGGAAAGAGGTTTGTCTCCAGGAAACAAAGGAAATGCCAAGTTTTTCACATTGTGCTCATGTCCAAGGACAGACACCTAACAGGAACCAGGGCAAAGAAGCCAAATAAGGCTTAGTTATGGCATCATTCATTCCCAATAGGGAAAACAAGAGTAAAAATACTTCCCTATCTCAATGGGATGTTGTAAGACTCAGGGGCTGTACAGCACAGACCTTTACAGCCGTAAGATACTTCAAAAAGGCTGATTATCAACGTGCTTTGCCCAGGCAAAAACCTCTTTTGTTCTGCTTCCTGTTCTTGTAACAAGGAAACATTTGCCAGTGTTATTGAAATGTATCTAGTTATGATGCTGTCATATCATCCTTGGCAAAGCACCCCCAAAACCATTTTCAGTCTGATGTTATTTTCCTCTTCTTGCCTTCTAGCAATACGTTCTTTGAAGTCAAATCTATATCAAACCAAGTTTGGAAGTTTCAAAGGTACCAGCTCATCATGACATTCCACGAAAGACCTGTTCTCCCACCACCTCTGATCATTTTCAGCCACATGACGATGATATTTCAACACCTCTGCTGCAGATGGAGGAAGCATGAAAGTGACCCGGATGAGAGAGACTATGGATTGAGTAAGACTCCGATAATGCACAAAGAGGACTTTCCAATGCCTTTCATAATGTCTAGTGTTGACATGCATGAATTCAAAGCCCAGCACCTTGATAACCTTCCCAGCAAACTAACAACTCTCATCTGCAAAAACCTTACCTGAATAAGTTAATTTTGCCTCATTTGGCCAACCCTTCGTTCTCTTTGCAATGTCAAGGAGGCTGTGTTTTTCTGGAACTATTTGAGGTTGTTGCCTATTTGTTCCTTCAAAGCAGAGGTTTGTTTTGCTGTTACTAGAGGCCTGTTATTGCTAGAATTCTTCTCACTCCATCACAGTTCCAGCTTTGTTTTTGAAAATACAGAGCAAACAGCTCATGCCTTCCCTGAGCACACTTTTTGCCTAGAAGCTTAGAGATGGTAAAAGGCAATTTTCTTTACATAGTCTCTCTTTGACTCTGACTCAGACTGGAGGAGTAGTTCCTCAACAGGCTTTAAATGAAGTCCCATAACCATGATGGAAAACCTGTCAGATTGTTTTGATAACACTTTCCTCTTCTCTATCTAATTCTTCAAGGCAGAATATCCCCACCTTGCCCAATGTACATGCCAGAGGCAGGGAGCTCAGGGCTGTGTATCTCTTCCCAGCATTAGCCCGTGCCACAGCCCACTTTTCTGTGAGGAGGAGCGGGAGTCGCGTGTGGCACTGGAGATGCAGCCAGGCGGCTCTCCTCCTGCTCCCATCACGCTGCTGCCTGCAGATGTCACTGCTTGCCGCCTCAGACAGACCCCTGTACTGTACGCTCAGGCTCTTTCCTAGCAGTCTGCTAATCTCATTATATGTCTGTTAGGTTACGGGTGGGCTTTGGCTTCCACCATCTGTCCAGGACCTGACCAGCAGATCTGTTTAGATCTCACATAATCAAAACATATTCACGTTTGCTCAGCATTTACCTGGTTAAGTGCTTCTGTCTGCAGAATCATATATAACTAAAGCCACTAATTTAGTAATTAACAGCATCTATCTGATTTCATATCAAAATGCCACATACTTGCTTATGAAAGTTAAGTCCATGAGTTTCACAAATAAGTTTGTAGTTAGTTTACATGTTAATATTTGCCAAATTCTTATTTCTCAATTTTTTTCCACAGAACTTTTCATAACTGAGGATGAATTGAAAAAGGTCCATGATTTTGAAGAGCAGTGCATAGAAGAGTATTTCAGAGAAAAGGATGACAGATTCAACTCCTCTAATGATGAAAGAATCCGTGTCACTTCAGAAAGGTGCACTTTTTTGTTCTCATAAGTTGATCTGGAAATATGTTTCTGTCACCAACTTCACTCTTTCTTTTTTTTCTTGTAAAAGGAAATTAAGTAGTTTTGGTAAGTCGTAATTAAAAAGTAAAGTGATAAAATGTGATGAGTTTATTCTCTCTTTTTCTGGGTTTCTTGGGTTGTTGTTGGGTTTTTTGGTGGTTTTTTTTGGTTGTTTTGCTTTTTTTTTTTTTTTTTGCTAAAGCATATGTGTTCAAGGCCAGGCTAGGTGTGGCTCTGAGGAACCTGGTCTAGGGGAAGGTGTCCCTGCCTGTGGCAGGAGGGTTGTAACTGAATCATCTTTAAGGTCCCTTCCAACCCACGTCATTGTAGGATAAGTTTTGTAAAAGGGATCTTTTGTCCAGTTGTATTAAAGTATAACCAATGCAGTGAGAGACACCAAGTATGATTGCATTTCAGTTCTTAAAACAAAAATTCAGGGCACAAGTAGTCACAATAAAATGGGAGTAAATTAGAGTTCCTCAATTAAAAACATGACTTTAGAGTTTGTCTGTGAGTGACTCAGATAAGAAACAAGCCTTGTTTCAGGATAGCCTGGCTAGATAAGCTAGTTTCATTAGAACCAATAGCAACATGGATTTTACATGGAACAAGACATTTCACCTAGAGTAATGCACAGAGGAAAAAAGCAATACAGTAATTTAGTAGAAGTTGCTAGTCTTCAAATTCAAAGGATATTAGAGGGAAAGTTGGTAAGGTATGGAATGGCTGCCTTGTAAAGGATGGTCAAGTAATCCAACATTCCTGGGTCTGGAAGAGAAGGATGAAATTATAGAGGTCTATATAAGTGTGAGTGTAAGGAAAGGGTGAACAGAAATCAATTGTTTGCTGTCACACTCAGAACAAGATATAGGGGAGTAACAGAATAATTTAGCAGGATCCTGGGTTCAAAATAAACAGAAAATGGGTGTTTTCCTTTTTTTTTTAATGCAGTAAGTAGTGTAACAGAACAAATTTTTGAAAGATGGTGAGGTCTAAAAGAAGCTGATGATGTCAGCTAAAATGCTACATGCATTCAAAGACTAGACAGGCTTATGAAAGAGAAATACTCCAGTAAGGACTGCTAAATACATAGAGATCATGTTGAGCACATAAATTTCCTGAGCAAAAATTACTAAAGACTGAAGAATATATGGGAGGAAGGACTACATATACTTCAAAGTAAGATAGTAGATAAATTGGTCTGTGGTTCAATGAAGTATCTTTTTTTCCTGTGTTCTGATAGTCCAGTGGCCACAGAACTGAACTGAAAAATCAGAGATGCAGGTTCAAATCTCTGAGTACAGCTTTTTGTTTGGTGGCCAAGGAAAGAAGAGGTATGTTTGGAGACCTGTAAATAAGAAGTAATCTAGTTAGGTCCTCCCCTATATCATGCAAGTGCTGTAAGACCTTGAAAATGAAAATATAACAGTCTGCCTTTTCATTCTGTGCTGACCGTATTTTATAGGAAAAGAGCCCTTATCTCTAATTTAAATGAAAATCTTAAAGCACCTTGTTCCTGAATCAAGTTCATTAATATGAATGCTAAGACAAACACCTGAGCCTCACAGAGAAAAAGCTCTTTAAAAATCCATTTACCTTAGCCAGTAGTTTAACATGGAGACTAGTGTGCCCCAGCTCTGTAAGAGAGATCCAAGTAGTGACCCTGTGAGGTACAGAGGTCACTCCCAGGCCCAATCAGTCGTCCCAGGTGAATGCAGTTCTTATTTCATAATAGGTCTGAGGAATATTTAAAAGATGCGTGAGGAATCAGGGCTATCTGAGTATCATACATAACACATTTCAGAAATAGGATGCCTGGGTCTTTTATTTTGCCTCAAGTCGTGACCAAGTCCTCTTAAATCTAAACCACTTGTCTTGGTTCCAGCCAGGGCAGGGTTAATTTTTGCAGTAGCCAGGAGGGGGTAGGAGGACCATGAGGTTGTTTGATGCCACCTTATTTCATTGCCAGGGGAAGGGGAAAGGGACTCTTGCTTCTTAGGGGGAGGGATTCCTTCTGGTCAAGAAAACATGCAACAGTCTGGAACAGTCTGGTATTGTTTATTGTCAGGGCCTTTTCACTGTAAATAATTTATCCTCCTTCTCCTCCTCCTTCTCCTTCTTCCATCTTTTCTTGTAATTTTGTTGCTGTTAGTGTTTATTTTCTTCTTTATTTCCAGTAAGTTGTTCTTACCTCAAACTTCACCTATTGTGCCTCCAATTGAAGCAGGGGAGGGGAAGTGGCAGCATGGTTTCTGAACTGGAGAATACCATGCCTAAACCATGACAACACTAGAATTATTTTTGTAACCTGTGGAATATTCAGATATGTAAAATCCAGATTGGCACTTTAGAGTTTCTCTATACAGTTATCATTGCACAAGTAACAAGATGCAGAGCAAAGAAAGCAGAGAAGATGCAATACTATGGTTTCTCTTCCAATGCCCAGTCACTAGCCTGTAGTAGTAGACCAAGTATAAGACCCATGTTAGAGCCATGAGATACTAGTTTAGTCATCTGTCCAATTAAGTCAGCTTTATGTGGTGTAAAATTGAACCAGAAAATCCTGGAAATGTGAGTGAAGTTCTTCCCAAAGACCTTTCATTTACAAGAAGCTGGGCATGCTGTTAGGCTCAAGAAGGGAAGGGTTGGGACAGGTCCTGTGTTACATAACTGCACCTGGACCTGGACCTGGACCTGGACCTGGACGAGTCACTGCCTTCCCTCGCCTCTGTGCATATGTGGTAATGCTCTGCTTGAGCAGCTGGGTTCATCAAAGTGCTCCAGGTCCTGCTAGGAGGAAGAACAGCTGCACACCCTGCATACAAACCCCCATGTACCTGCAAGAGTAGGCGGCTAGCACTGAAGAGAAATGTAAGATGGGAACAGAGCTTTGCTTCGAGCCTCAGTGGGTCACAGAGACAGGTTAGGGGCTCAGGAAATCAAAACATCCTGTGCTCTGATGCATTGACCTGGGTGTAAATGAATGATTTCAGTTATGCAGTCAGGGGCTGTGCTGGGGCAGGACCACAATGTCTTGTCTGACTCACCTGCAACGAGCTTCAGCTGATACTCTCACCTTGGAATAGTCCACCCTGGCATCCTGTGGGCCTGCCTCAGTTCAGGAATCTCCTTACTTCTCTTGTAACAACAGACACTGTGGGATCTCAGCACATCACTGTGGATGTGCAGAGCCACCAGGGGAGCCCCTGGGGGGCTCGGAAACCCTGGAATGATGCCAAAAGGGTTTGGTGATTGGATTTCGATCCATCAAAAAGAGAACAGCCTGTGACGGAGGAAATGAGAACTTCTTGGGTGTGAATGATACCTTTATGGAGGGAAATATAAATTTTAGAAAAATAGGTACAGGGGGGTCATGAAGGCAAGATGGAGGATTCAGGGCGTGGTCCTGTGTTCTTCTTTCTTCTTCATGTCTTCCATTTTGTGTGGTGATGTTGGCACTTGGAGATTGGTTCGTAGTGAAAGTGCACTTGTCTATAAGGATGAATAGTATTGGGAAATAAAGGTAAATATGTCACACGTAATTTTTACTATAAAAGACACAACCGCCCTGTGGGCGGGGGAGAGTGCACTCGACTGTCCTGCTGAGCGGACCTCGGCTGGGCAAAGAGAAAACTTTGTAGATAAGAGATAATAAACAGAACTGAAGACCGAAAATCTAAGAGTCCAGGCTCATCCTTCGCAATCGCGGCCGCCCAGAACCACCTTTCCCCGTGTCGGGGCAGAGACACATAACAGCGGACCCCGACAAGACACCACCAAAGTCTTCATATTTGATGTCACCAGACAGAATCCCTCCTTTACCTGATCACTTCACATTCAGAAATTAAAAGCATAGAACAACACTTGATGTTTGTCTTTCCTTGACCTCAGTACTAGGCAATTGAGAGGAGCAGCTGTTGCTGGGAGAGTGGGAACTACAAGCAAAGTTTATTAAAGAAGCCCCGCTTCTTCTGTCTTCTGACTCTGATGGGAAGAAAGAACTCCACTGTGTATTTAAACTCCTTCACAGAAAGGGGTCTAAATGAAGATCAGTCCTTCCTTAGCCTCAGATTTTGGCAACAGTTTAAATTTAAGGAATAATTTTGTCTGGCAAGTTCTAATGATGGCAAATCAGACATATTTATATAAAAATTAATTATTCATTAAACAGACAAAAGATAACAGATGGAAAGTCTTAATCAGAATTAGTTATTTATAATATAGTACAGTTATACCTATATAGTATATAGCTATAGCTATATATATACTATTATATAATATATAGTATATAGCTATAGCTATATAGTAATAGCTAAAATAATTACTAGTGGATTAAAGCATGAAACAGTGCACTATATCAAATTACCTATATTAAAGCTAGCAAAAGAAAGAGTATTGATTGAGAGTCAAATGCAACTTACCACTGAAGTGATGATAATGGACACAAATACCTTCACTTAACCCCTGGGGAGTAACCACAAAGTAGGTTCCTACTAACAGGAGAAACTTCACACATTTCCAGGAAAATGTATACAAGATTTCTACTTTGTGAAGGTTTTTTGTGGCTTTTATAGTTGTGAAGTGAGTGGCTGTCAGTCAGAAATGCAGTCTGTCTTGCCCGTTCTCTAAGATTTTTACTGGCAGTTGGGAGATGCTAGACCAGTGACCATGGCACCAAAATCACTTAGTGATTTTTCAAGACTATACCTCTGAAATACAAGACAGCTTGTCCTGTTTGAGTTCTCTGACTGGCTAGAAAACAACAGATGTGGGGGGTGAGATGCTCTGCTACAGAAGCCCACTCTGGGATTTCGCACAAGCATGTGGAAGTAGCATCAGGTTACTGAAACATATCAGATGAAGCTATAGACTAAGTGGAAAAATATAAAGCAATACAAGGTTTTAAGGTGTTTCCCTTGAGTGCATTTATCAAAGCATGCATAGCGAATCTCCTGAAGACCTGTGAGGAAAGCTAAATTGGACAAATTCACTTCATTGCAGTGGAAGAATCACAACCTTTTGTGGAGAATCTTTCTTTCTAATCACTGTGTTGCATCTTGACCAGAACAAACACATGATGTGTGATATGATCAAAAAAGACTGAACTGTTTTTCTTGATCTGGCATGAAGTCACTGAAACAATCACTTCAGTAAGCATTTGTTCCATGTGAACAGGTCTCAACTCTTTCATACCTGTGCAAAACCTCATGTTGCTTTCAAAAGGAGCAGGGTCACATCATAACAGTATTTGAAAAGCAGATAAGCTGGTTAGAGCAGATATTACTATGTCATCTTTGGTACTCTGTGGTATCCATTAGTACAGCACTTTATAATCTGCAGTGCAATTACATGTACAGCATCTGTGTGGATGATGACATAGCTATTATCTTGATTTCAGAGCTGGCAGGCTGAAGTGCACAGAAATAGCTTTGTGTTGGTAAAAAGCACTGACCCTACCAGGCCAACCCAGACATGAAAAATGACAGAAGGAAAGGTCCGTGACTCTGGTGGCATCTCTCTGTGGTCATAAAGAGTTAAGTGGTCTTAGGCTCCAGTGGGAATGCAGCCATGACAACCCAACTTCCTTAGCCAGGAAAAGCCACTGCACCGGGGAAAACTGGCTGACTGCTTGCATCAGCACTGGTTTACCAAAAGATGTCAGGCAAAGTACCCTGTTACAGGCTTGGGAACTGCTGTCCATGTTTTATTTAAATACAACCATTACACAATCACCTATCAGAAGCTCAGTGGTATCTCTGTAAGTGGCTTTCATGCCAACAGTCTTTGTGGTTTTTGAAAAGGATTTTGAAGTATGAATGATGTCTTAGGAAAGGATTTTGAAATATGACTGATGTCTTAGAAATGGACCTAGGTCAACAAAGAGACTTGTGAACCTAATTCTACCATTCAATTAAGAGGTCTACCTCTGAAAAGAGAGCCTTACTCCCATTAAATAATTCTTTTAAATAAACTATTGATGAGCTAATGTGCAAAGGTTAAAAATCAAGAAAGCAAAATGAATTCCAGCAAAAGTCATGATCTCCCAAACCATAATTAAAAAGTCTTACTGCAAGTAATATAAAATCTTGTTCTGAGTTTTCACTTTGTTATTGAATATTGTCCTGGTAAAGTCCACGTTTGTTTCACATTAGAAATTTTTGAGCTTCAGCAGCACATCTTGATGCATGTTTTATATGTAGCATTCTCTTTTTCTCCTCTCATTCTATTAGCATGGCTTGACACTTTCTAATACATTGAATAATACACTTTCTAATACATTGAATCTTGCTGCAAGGAAAAGCACAGGTGTGAAGGAGGCATCATAGATGGATATTGTGAGATTTGCTAAAAGGTTCATACTTGCTGCTGAATACGCATGGAGAAAAAAATCCCAAAGCAAAATTAGGGCATTCTTATTTTGAAACTGTGTTTTAATTCAAAACTATTTCTAAAGGAAATACAAGTCAGGCTGTCTATTCACTGAGTGCAAGAGCATTTTCCCAAGAATATGGGAAAATAGAAAAATTAATTATTAAGACATTTTAAAGACCAGATTAGGGGTGTATCTCTCCAGACCATACCTTCCTTTATTCTCAGTGTTTGGCTGATGTGATTTTATTCTGTTTCTAATAAGCTCTCTCCCGGAACATGGTGTTGTTCTGTAGGGTGGATGAGTACAGAACTGAACATCAAATTACTACAAGAGAACATCATAATAGAATAAATATTTGTTAAATGTTCTGGAGTAGCTATATGCTATACATATATATATTATTTATATAACTAAGGGTGACTAAGTATCTTTGGGGTTGGAGGAGACCATCATCTTTCAAGCTTTCTTTTTGTGAATAAAATTCTATAGTCAGGGCTCACGAAGTGCAAACATGTGTATGCATTTTTAAGCTACCCTATGCACATCTCTGGTTACCCGTGGTTTCCAAACCCAGACTGCTCTGTGCTTATCTTGTTACATTTCTCTATAAATTTTCCACACTGTCAATGCAATCACATTTGTCATCAATTCCATAGCAACCAAGAGACCATGTAACTCAGAAGTCTCTCTTCGCATTGTCTGACGCTCTGTGCCGCTGACAATAGCTGCTAGATCACATCCAGGGAAGGCAGAACAAATACATGAACACCTACCAGCGAGGTATTATTCTAGCTTCTCCTGGTTGTGTTCAGTATCATTGCATAGGCCTCTCGTGAATGCAAGACACAAAACTTACCTCACTACAGACAGTTCCACTTACAGACCAACTGGATATGTTTGTATTAAAAAATATTTCACTTGTGTATACAGGTGTCAAGACAGGAAAGAAAAAAAACAAAGCAAAACAATGGCAAAAATAGCAACAACAACAAAACAAGACCACAACCAGATTATCCAGTCAGCTTTAAATAATGTTAAAAATTCACTCCAATTCTTGGTAACTGTTGCTGAGGTGAAAGGTTTTTTTGTGGGACGTAATCTGAGCTATAATTGTCCAATAAAATTCAGTAAAATGTTTCCTTATGTCTGACAGCCCTAAAATTGCAATGTTTTTTCTGTTCATCTTCTTGAAGCAGTTCTTATAGGATCTGAATGTTGGGGTGAAGGACTCAATTATTGGCTAATAAATATTTCAAAAGTACAATTGCTTGTACAAAATAGCAGTTTATATGAGTGAAAATTCAACTGCTTCCCATATAAACTACTCTCACTGTGGAATTACATCCTGTACTTGCAATAACATTAATCTGTTTTGTTGGAGAAGCTGGTAGAACTAGAAACAGACTGGTGCCTAAATGAGAATGAGATTCCTTGAAGCTACCAGTTCATTTCTTAGCAGTGATTACTTGATCATTTGTCTGCTGAAGACTGATGATAGAAATACAGTTGCTGCTGCACATTTAATTTGTTATGCTTGTGCCTTCAAAACTCACAGGCTTCGCAGGAAAAGCATATATTTCCCAGGAATGTGAGACTTGCTGTAGGGAGCTGAGTCACACTCCTCCCTGTCCTCTCCTCTCCTCTCTGTGGGCAGGTTCTGTTGCTCATCACCACAAGGTAGTCAGACTTCAGTGTTTTACCAGAAAAAGTTCTAGGCATTAGGTAACAGGGCATTAGTGCTGTCCAGTATTCTATTCTTTGCTATAATCTTCCCCTCTGTGCAAATAAGAGTGGTTATGGTGTTGACAGCTCCAAATGACTTGTCCTGATGGAAAAAAATAACTAGCAGTAGTAGAAGATGATATTTACCTCGTCAGAACTCCTGGCAATGGTTTGTGTGCCTGTTAACTATAGCAGTGTGACTAGTAATACTTGAGCATGAATTGCACTAACTGGAAGAGAGTAAGAGACCTGTGAAGAAAAAGAGTGTGGAAATTTTGCCATTTGGTATCTTTTGCCTCTCTGATCATTTTTCCATGTCTACAGGGGTGGGGAAAAACAGAATTATAATCTATCAGACACAGAGAACTACATAAACTTGTTGCTTTAGTACTTCTTCAATGGAAAGTGGAAGTCCCAGCCTGTCATAGGGATTACAAACAGAGAAAATAATTATAGAAGTTTCTTATGTGTTACAGGCACTTTCATAGTGTAAAATATTCAGGCTGTATAAATCCTTCAGAAGACACGTTTTAGAAGTCAGAAAATTGAAGTGGTTAGAAGCCACTTGCATAAATCTGTACACAGTTCCCTAAAAATGGAAAATATCTTAAAATGAGACAGATCAAAGGTCTAGAAAAGACATACTAAAGTTTAAATTAAATTAAGTTTAAAATACTGAATCTTACATTCAATTATTATCTATTTTTTAATCTAACTTTCTTACTTGTATATTATGATAGCAGCTGAAAACTAACTTTAAAATCCATCATTTCAGTTCTTAAGCTATGAACACAGACTACCCAAAGCACTCACAGTAATGGAGCAATCTTAGTGCATGTTCGCTGTTGCAGGCTGTATTTGGCTTGATCAGTGTTTCTCCTCCTTGCAGTATTCATGAATATTTAACTCAATTATATATATTCAACAAAATAGCTGATATTTCTTTTTTTTCTACAAATCTGAGCTAAATTTTAATCAGAGAACAAAGAAACTATCGTCTTAGATTGACACAGGACTAGGTAGTGCAAATCTGGGGCAAACACGAGTCAAAAATACAGCAGTGTCTCTCTTCTGTGGCACATTGCCTGCTTTCTTTACTTCATTTAGCCACCTGTGATGGTCCTGACTGTGGCACAACTGTGGGGACAACATCATGTGGCATCTGCTTTAAGTGTTATTCATTCATAATTAGAATCTTTGGAAGCAAAGAGGTAGTAATTCATAGTAACATTTATGAAATAAGTCTCCTGTCCCTGGAATGAGGCACACCCACAGGCCCTCTGCACTACATAACAGATGCCCCTGGTTTAATCCACGGTATCAATTCCCTGAGTGCATAGCTTTTTTTTTTTTTTTTTTTCTTTTTTTTGGCTAAACCTCTTTTAGCAGGATTTTGAATCACATAAGGTGGTTTACATTGCCTTTGGGGTTTGAGATGTATTTGTTTCCATCTGGTTTGGTGACCTATTAGCTGAAGATCACTGCTTTGTAGAAATTTACCTGTTTAATTCTTCCCTTTCTAAAGGGTGGAGAACATGGCCATGCGACTAGAAGAAGTAAATGAGAGAGAGCACTGCATGAAGGCCTCTCTGCAGACTGTTGACATCAGGCTTGCTCAGCTGGAAGACATGATGGGACGAATGGTGACTGCCTTAGAAAAGATGGCTGGCATTGAGAGAGGTGAGACAACTAAGATCCGATCCAGGACCTCATCTGACTGTACTGATGCAGCCTACATTGTGAGGCAGAGTAGCTTCAACAGCCAGGAAGGAAATGCCTACAAGCTTCAAGAGAGCATTGATCCCACAGGAGAGGAGTCCATGTCCCCAACGTCACCTACAATCACACCGCGCTTGCGAAGCCACTCCTTCTATGCAACAAATATGAAGGACAAGTGTGGGTTGGAAAAGTTGGAAAGCATTTTTAAGGAAAGATCGCCAAGCCTGCATCGGGCAATCAGTTCCCACTCAATAGCAAAAGAAGGAAAGGCTCCTTTACCCCCTACCAGCACTTTGTCAATCGCCCCAGACTCCAGAAGACCTTCGTCTTGTATAGACATCTATGTTTCTGCCATGGATGAGATGCATTCTGACACAGAACCTCTCGAGAGCTCCATAAATATTCTTGGTCCTGAAGATGCAGCTCTGCCAGCTCACATAGCCTCTTCCCTTTTAACTAATAGTGCATACATCAGCAGTGCAGCTGGTGAAAAGATCTCTGGCAGGAGTCTTGATTATGAGGAAACTTCTGGAATAGAAACAAGAGCATTTTCTTCAGACTATTCACAAATCACAGACTGCCAAATCCCGTGGGATTCAGACCCTCCCTTGTATCATACTTTGGAGCGATCTAAAAGCAGTCGTTACCTGGCTACTACTCCATTTATTCTGGAGGAAACACCAATTGTGAAATCTCACAGCTTCATGTTCTCTCCTTCTCGAAGCTACTTCAGCAGCCTTGGCGTCCCAGTCAAAACAGCAGAGTACACAAGTATTACAGATTGCATAGACACAAGGTGTGTGAGCGCTCCCCAGGCCATTGCAGAGAGGGCCAGTTTCCCTGGAAGTCTCAGGGGCAAAGTGGAAGACTTGGGATGCTGCCACCCAGAGAGAGAAGCTGAACTAACCCACCCAAGCTCTGATCATGAGGATATTGAGGTCAAAGACAAGAAGGCAGTCCCCTTATCTCCTCAAGACAGCAGTGCTACAACAACTCTGCCCAACAGCATCCCGCTCCCAAAAATAGAGCGAGCCAACAGCTACTCTGCAGAGGAGTCCAACGTGTTGTACATGCAGCACACACGGAAGAGCTACTCCATCAGCGACAAACTCGACAGGCAGCGAAACACAGCAGGCCTGCGGAACCCCCTGGAGAGGAGCAAGTCCTCCAGGCCAGAGAGCAGAGGGGACAACCTCTCCATGAGGAGACTGTCAAGAACTGGAACCTTCTGCAGCTTTGAAAGCAAGCACAGCTAGGCTTATACAAAGCTCACCAGCAGTCTAAGGGTCAACTGCTTTTCAGTCTGTTTTTCTTAGCAGAATTTTTTAAAAACCCTCACATCACCCCATGTTGAGTCCAATTGGCATTAGCCACGGGTCAAGGGAGCACATTTTCAATCTCAGCATCACCACTGACATACTCCATCTTGACCCAGCTGACATTTTGCACTTAAGAAAAAAGGAAGGGATGAAAGCTTTACAAAACCTTCAGTAAATAAGAGGAATAACAAGCCCCCTTAATGAAGTCACAAGACATAGATTAATAGCTCCAGATATCTGCCTTTTATTAGAGGGCATCCTAAGACCTTTTATCATTATTCAGGTTTTTAAGATGCAGGAATTAACTGGCAAAAAAAGAGATGTACAAATTTGATGTTCCAAACTTCAATCACAACTTCTTTTTCATCTATGTCACCATTGTGATGACTGGTGAAAAGCATTTGTTATTTCTGTAGGAAGTGGCAGCAAAAAAAATCTAAAGTCTCCCAAGTCCCTTGCATCCCACACTTGTGGAAATGAAGATGAACACAGCAACAAGTATAAATGTTCACTTGTCTCCTTTTGTATGAACTTCTAGTGCCACAGAAATTTATATTTTCAAGAGCGGAAAGGGAAATTAAATGCCTTTTTTACTGCAACGTAAATGGAAGGAGAGTTTACGTTAAAATGTAAGGTGATTTCCTGTGTAAAACAGGCATTCTAGATTCTAGCACAGGTGAGCAAGCTCAGGATGAATGTAATTAAGTGGAATAGTATATATTTATTTTTTTACCACATTTGTCATCAGTATGTTGTCTCACTAAATCAAAGGATATGATGAAACAGTAAGAACAAGATGATCAGAGCAGAGCATATTAATAGTGTCCAGTTCTCACTGCTCAGTTTAATTATATATATAAATTGGGGAGATTTATCCACCATGCTGCTACCAAGTTCTTCTTGCTGTTTCATTTGAGCTGCCGTTTCTTCACATCATTCCCCCACCTATAAAATATACACCTTTTTTTCCCTTTTTTTTTTCATGCCAACATAGGTGTATTTGGACTTTTTAAATTATACAGGATTTATCAAGAAGTCTGAATCCAGATTCATGTAATTAGACTGAAGCTGCTTAAAGGAAAGTATTTTTGGCAGAGGACTGGAAAACACTAGAATTTCTATATACTTCTAAGGTAAATAAAAGAACCAAAGTGAAACTGCAAGTGTGTGTAAACAGAAAAGCCATCAGTTGTGACTAGGCATCCACCGTTCATCAGTGCATCACACAGTGAGTGCTTTTAGCAGGAGAAAATCTGAACAGTAGTGCAGTTTTGGGTTTTGGTTGAAGACAAGTGTAACTCCACTGACTCCACCCACATTCCAAGGGCCCACATTGCCAACAAGAGTTTCAAACTTCTCATGAGACAGTGCCCAGTGGTCACAGGTGGAAGGGTATACAGAAGACTGAAGAAGGGTGGAGAAGCATAAGCTGCAACTGGAAAAACAATTCACATTCCTTTATGACAGCACGACTTTTAAGCTTTTAAAAAGTTGACACTAATGCTATCAGAAGTTAAAATATCTCAACAGTTACCAATATCAGAACCAGCTCCTTTTTGTTATTAAAAATGAACATTTGTGAGTGGGGTATATATTTCACATTATTTAAATTGAATTATCTTTCAAAGGCAGCTTTGAGGATACAAGCTGATGTTTTCTCACTGGGTCCTCACCCTGGGAGACTCTGAGCACCATCTGAGAGTTAAGTCCAAAAGGCAACTGATCCAGAAAAACAATCGTCAGCCTCAAGAAAAGAGGCAAAGAAGGTGAAAACATTTAGTTAACAAGTCACTGTGTTGGAAGTTTGGGAAACAAGGAAATGCAGCAAGGGGATGTTAAAACCAATGCGTTTCACACTTCCTGCACCAACGTGTTCCTTCCTTTCTTCTGTTTGATCAGGCTTTCAGTGAACTAAACTCCACCAAGACACCATGTTTATGCAATTGCCTTGCAGGTCATGTGCAGCATTACAGCCACATGGCAATACCAAGAAAGGTCGGAAACCTTTCTGTGCATTATGAAGCATGCTTGTGGCAGGCTGATTGTTGAACAATAGCAAAATGCCCAAGGGCAAAGGAACTTGTGTTTAACAATATGCTTCAAATGTGCCAACCTTCTGTTAGCAGCCTTTTCCTAAGGCTTCTCCAAATCTATCTATCTATCTATGGAGAGTAGAGGGGGATATTCTTACTTCGTTTTCTTTGTTACTTTTATGAATGTCTGCTAAAACTGTTGTGGACTCTTTCATCTTCATTGTATTAGTGGTCTACTCAAGAGGAATTTCAGATTCATTAGAAATTACTAGACAGCGCTTAGTGAATTAGGCATAGGGCTCTCCTCTGGGGTAGATTCCATTGGTTAGTTTGTCAGGGTAAAGAAATTTGCCAAGCCTAGAAGCTGTATAAATATTTAGGATACAGCACCTTATTGATCTGGAGTACACATTCCAGGTAAAATGAAACAGAACACTTTATTTACCTCTTAAAATTTGCCATTATATATAAAATGTAAATTCAGATGTTAAAAGTGTGATTGCAAAAGGTCAGAACACTACTTTTCCTGAATGTTTCCCATTTATTCTACAATGTGGTGTCTATAGAATATGTTATGATGGATGTTAGATTACTTTATTTTCACCTGGTTTTTATGCATTGCATCAAACAGCTCCTTTTTGAATTTGATGATAAAACATTCCCATTTCTTGCAATGGGACCAGACTTCCCATTCTCAATATCATGACCATTTAGTGAGATAGAAGTCTCATCATCCATCATTATGTAGCTATAGCATGTGCCATATGATGTACTCTGTATCAAAGGATAGCTTATGAAATAGACACATACGTAGTTGTGACATGTGGGAATATTAGTGAACGTTACAGGACAGTTTTAATATCTCATTACATGGTCTTGTTTGTAAATCTGTAACATTCAATAAAATAGCACATGTTTCATCAAACATAAAGTTCCACTATCCAGTTATTAGCTTACGTATGGAATATGCATTTCTGGTCACAGTGTGTAAGTTTGGTATGTTTCGCACATTTCTTTGTATAGCTCCACTTTAACATCTGTATGAGCTGATGTATAAACCTCTAATGAGCCACTGTGGGCTGTGGCAGATTAGTTGTGATGGTGTGAAAGAGAAACTGGCATGTTATGCAAAAGATTATAAGATATATGAACTTTAATAATATTTTACAACTCAACTGAGCTTAGTTGTTTGTTTACATATGCTGGTTGACTGAGGAAGCAGTGTGCAGTATTTTATAAATATTTTCCTATAGTAATCCATTCTGTTGTTTCCAGTTTAAGTGATTCTCTTCTACAGTTGGGGTATACACTTGTCCTAGGTATTGTATTATAGCACATTATTCTTTCACAATAATAGTGTGATATGACTGAAGTAGTTTCTCTTCCTTAAAGTTCAGTCTTTTTTTTGTGTCAAAGAAAATGCATGCATTGTTCCATGAGTTTCTTTGGACTGCTAGGAGACTTAACATTTTGCTATTGCCTGCCTGTAAAGATGAATCCAGTTAGGAATGAATTCAAACTTTTGGATGTTTACATTATTTCCATTATTTTTGATCTTTAGCAAAGTAAGTGATTTTTTTATTATTTTTAAAAGACAATTGTATTTTATGAAATTTGAATACTCAACACAAAATGCGAACCTACAGCAGTGCTCAGACATTTGGCTCTCTTTTTTTTTTTTAAGAGATCAGGTGCTACACTATTTTCTTAGCACAAGTGCCAGTTAACAAATGGCAGTGAGGGGATAATTTGAAAATATAATGAAAAACCAAAACGTCCATTCATCTACATACAGAAATCCCTCTGGTCTCCAGACATAGATTACTTTTTGGTTGTTTTTTTTTTTTTTTTTTTTTTTTTTTAATTTTCCATTTATAGATTTTTTTGGTTTAAAAAAAAAAAACAACTAAACTGATTTGTACCTTTTGCAGAAAGGATAGCCTTTTGTCAGGGGATAAATATCTTAGTTAGGTATATTTTTTGTATGAGAAGAAAACTATCTGTTTCTTAGGAAACAGTCAGTGCATGGAAAATGCAACTGCATGAATAACTGCTCAAAAAAAAAAGTGCTGGTAGCAGCACACAGCCTTAGTCCAGTGACTGCAGTGGGCATAAGCCAATATCTGTCCTGAGAGCAGAAGTTATCAAAGGTATTATTTAGAGTGAGCCAGTGAAACAAAATTCTCTGTAAAGTCATGGTGCAAATTTTCAAAACAAGCATAATTGTCTTATTATATTGCTCAGGTTAAACACTGAAGAGGATCTGATAATCACCCAAAGGGAAAGTGTGAGATGGTTTTTCCTGGGTTTCCCTTGGAACACTTAAGTAGTTGTGGTGTTGTCCTCTGCTTAAAATTGATAATATATTTGGATTTTTTGCACAAACTTGCATATTTGGTTCAACAAAGGCCACATTTTCATTTTTGTTGAGAGATACTAGGTATAGATCATCTTCTTCAAAAGAAATGGTTAAGATTCCTAGCATGAATTTTCCATTCAACCACCTTAGATAAAATCACAGTCCAAACTGGGATGAGAAGTGAAGCACTGGGGGTCTCTGCTTTCCTAGTGAAACCTTTCACTACTCTAGATGGAATTCACTGTCCTTGCCACACATTGGCGCAGTAGGAGCAGTAGTATTGGACTATGTTTCTGCACCCTGCTTTTTAGCCAGTCATACAGCTCATACAGAACACTACAGGTCACAGAGGCTTCTCTTCTCCGTGATTAACTACAATTACAATCTTAGTGATGCTGGTGCAAATCTGCAGAAAATCCACTGATTTCAGTGGCATACTCTGACTTCTGTCAGGAGATGGATTTATTCTGCATTTCTAACTCAATATTACTTTGAGTCATGGCATGCATTACACTATATCATCTTCAAGTTGGAAGTCTAATGAT